CACCGTGCCCCCTGACGCGTTTGGGCGTGGAATAATGCCAAGATCTGTCTGGTAGGGTCTTGTGGAATTCAAGTCTGCGTAAGGGACCGCACCTCCCTGTACCATCGGACTCTTGCGGGCACCGCCCCTCCTCTTCGCGGCCACTTCACTTGTACCCAGGCGGCCTCAGCGAACGCCTAACCCCCCCTCCCAAGCGCACCCACTCGAGGATCGTAGGATCGTGCACTTCCCGCATTCCCAGGCGCTGCCCCCAAGCGCTCCAGGGCCTCCCAAGCTACGATCCTACATGAAAACACGATGGATCTGCGTACCGAGCTTTCGAGATGGCCCGTGCAGGCAACCAAGCACACCAAGATGGCCCACGATGCGTCGCAGACGGCCCAACATGGCCCCAAGGCGGCCACATATTGATTCAAGACGACCCAAGGTGCCTCCAAGAGGGCCCAACCTTTGAACCAAGAGGACCTCCAATAGGCACAGGGACCGAAGAAGCCAAAATCATTGATATCTCTGCGGTGTTGAAGGAATTTGGTATTCTCGCCGTGCCGGGCTGCCGTCAGCCCATGGCGGCCCAAGAAGACTCCCAAGTGGCCCAAGAGGCACCCAAGACGGCCCCCAAACGGCCCAAAAGGACTTTACTTGGAACCCAGACAACCGTAGAAGGCCCTTCGACGGCGCCAAGACGACAACGGTCCCCAGGCACCCATCATACGACCAAGAGGGCCCCCAAACTCCCCAGGAGAGCCCACAACCGTCGTAAGAGGGCGCCAGGACGGTCCAAGAGGGCCCCAAAGGACCCCCAAGACTACCGCACAGGAAGCCAAGGCAGTTCCAAGGCGGCCCAACCGAGTTTCATCAGATTACCACCACCATCATCAGAAGCATCATCAGCATTCTCGCCACCATCATCATCATCATCATCATCATCATCATCGTCATCATCATCATCATCATCATCACCATCATCATCATCATCATCATCATCATTATCATCATCATCACCATCATCACCACCATGATCAGCATCACCATGCTCATCATCAGCATCATCAGCATCATCATCACGAGCGTCATAATCATCATTACCGTCATCATCATCATCATCATCATCATCATCATCATCATCAGCATCAGCATCATCATTATCATCATCATCAGCAGCATCATCATCATTATCAACATTACCAACATCATCACATCATCAGCAGCATCGTCATCAACATTACTATCATCATTTCGTCATAAGTAGAATCATCATTGTCATCATCACCGCCATCCTCATCATCAGAATCATCAGCAGCATAATCATCCTTGGCATTATCATTTCCATCATCATGAAGCTAATCATCATCATCATCAGCATCATCGTCGTCATCATCATCACCATCATCATCACCATCATCATCATCACCACCATCATCATCATCATCATTACCATCATCAGCATCATCATCATCATCATCGTCATCATCATCATCATTGTCATCATCATCATCATCATCATCAACATCATCATCATCATCATCATCATCATCATCATCACCACTCCCCTCATCCTCATCGTCCCCATCATTCTCATCACGGCTCTCCCGAACCTAGAGACGCGAGGTGTCCGACGGACTCCACGTGCCCCCCGCGCACAGTCGCCACCCAGAATGCTGGACTGGCACGGCGGCGGGACTTGCCGCAGGCAGCTGGGCAAGGCCGCTCACGATCGGCCCACATGTCCGTATCCGCGCCCTCGCTGTCTGGATTGTCTGGATTCCGGGGCGCGATCCCGCGGATACGCGGTCGCGCGGGTAAAGGTTCCGTCCGGGGCATCCGCGCAAAAGGCGCTCCTCATCCGCGGGGTCGCGGCCCAGGGGCCCCTGCCCGCGAGGCCGCGGATACAGGTAAGCTTGTCGCCCGCGAGACATGTCGCGCGACAAATCAGCAACCCGACTCGGCCCGACTCTGGAGAATTCCACAGGGCGCCCTGGAATCAGCATCGGCATCTGTTTTACTGGTTTCAAATAACTGCCTATTGACCCTGAATACAGGAGGTTAAAACATGAGTGTCGTTTAACAGATCCCCATCCCCAGCGGCGTGGCCTGGGCCCAGCTGGCCGATTTACCCCCCTAGATGGGGATATAGGCCGTTCCCTTCGGGCTTCGAGGGCTGTATCCCCAACTGGGGTGGTAATTTGGTGGGGGTCTCGAAGGGGATGGAGATTGGGATGGGGATCGATTAAACGATACCGAGATTTACGGGTTTCGAATAACTGCCTCTTGACCCTGAAAACTGGAAAAAACTAATAATAACATCGGTCAGCGAAGAACAACTCACCGCGATGGCCTGGGCAGTCCGAGGCACCGAAGGAAGCTCGGAACCGCTTCGAAAACGGTTCGGATCCGGTGGCAAACACTGTGATCAAGTGTGGCGAAACAACACGTGTGATAACAAGTTGTCTATCACGCTTGTGTTTTGTACCACACTTGATTTTTTGATCACACGTTTTTTTGAATCACACTTGACCAGGCTTCCACCAGCGGACGCGAAAACGGTAAAACAACGGCGCCTCAAACGTCCGAGAAGCGGCGCCAGAACTGTTTGCAAAACTGAAAACCAAGACGATGAAACAACTGCCATGTCGTTTCTGGGGCCCGCGAAAATCCAGACCCTCACCACAAACCCAGCAGTCGTTCAGGCTGGGACGACCTGCAGGACGTGCCAAGCCAGGAGAAGTCGCGGCCTCGGAGCATCGCGGCGTCAATGCCGTCGCCCCCTCAACAATACAGCACGGTGCGTGCGCAGCCGTGTGCGCAATTCCAACTGCGTCAACATCGCCTGCACTTCTGAGCCGGTGCACACGGCGTTACCCGATTGCAGTGCACAGCTCCTTCGATACTGTGCAACAGGATCGAACACCCCATGTTGACCGCATGGCTTGCGATCGTCACACGCTTTGTGCGGGCCGTGCCCACGCTGCTCGCCACAGTGCTGAAAGGTGTCCCCCCGCGCTCACTTTGATTTAAGTTTCGAACTCTGCAATTTTGGAGCGGGAGGCCCGGGATTCCCAGAATTACTGGGCGCTCTCGGGCGCTTCTTTGCACCTTCGGGAGATCACCGCGCGACTTGTTCCAATGCCTTCGGAGCGCGGGTGGGAGTCCGGATTCCCCATGTGTCCTAAGCTGGCTCCTAGGAGCTGCCCTGGCGCTGTCTTGGGGCTTGCTCGGCCGTCTTGGAGGCCGACCCAGAGGCCACAAATCCGCCGACCCTGTCGGCGTGTGGAATGGGTTGTTCTTCTCGTCCGTGCCTCCTTCCATTTCCCACCTTCTCCGTCTCCTTCTCGTTCGTCTCCCCCTCCTCCTCCTCCTCCTCCTCCTCCTCCTCCTCCTCCTCCTCCTCCTCCTCGTCCTCCTCCTCCTCCTTCATCTCTTCCTCCTGCGTAACGTAAATTGACTCGAAAGGTTTCCCCTTCCCTTTGTTCCCTTCCCAGGCCGGGGAGGGTGGGGGGGTCCCGGGGGAAGCCCGGGGGCGGTCCGGGGGGGGTCCTGGGGGGGTCCTGGATCAGAATACCTCCTCCCTCCTCCTCCTGCTCCTCCTGAGTGTCTTTTGCCACCTTCTCCATCTCCTCTTCGTTTGTCTCCCCCTCCGCCTCCTCCTCCTCCTCCTCCTCCTCCTCCTCCTCCTCCTCCTGCTCCTCACACGCTTCATCCGCCTACCCTGTCACGTTCCTTCCTGTGATCACGCATCCCGTCGCCATCGACGGCCAAAACCTTCAGGGTCGGCGGCACCGGCCGTAAGGCCTTCACAGTAGTTGATCAATCGTTACTCTGGTGTGAATGCCATGCTCGCCATTTCGGTCTCGAACGCGACTAAGCCGGCCCAAGAGGCCCCCAAGAGAGAGTCCAATTAGGCCCCCCACGACCACTCTGGGGGCCGAGAGGGCACTAGGTACGTACTGCACACACACATTGACTGCACACCACTGTCCTACTATATCGTAGCCTATGGCAGACCGCGTCATCATGGGTGCCACGCGAATGCGAAGAGGGTAGATGAAGTCGAGGGATGAACTGCGAGGGGGAAGGCGAAGGCGGGGATATTTTGGCGTGTTCGAGTCTCGGTTGTCGTGCCTCGGAAGAGGCACCTCATCCGCCTGCTTCGCGGAAACTCGTTTGGTCGGCGGCGTCTCGGATCGGAGCTGCGGGCGGGCTGCGCTGGGGCCCAGGCGAAGCTACGTGCGGCACAGGACAAGCAGCGAAGACCAGAGGACAGGAGGAGAGGCTGCGCGCGGCAGGAGGGCCCTCGGAGCATGACATCGCTCGGGACGTGCCCAGGTAAGCTTGTCGAAGAAGTGCAGCCATCGGGGATCGTCTGACCCTGGTCAGTGCAGAGCCGGGTCAGTGAGGCCTTGCAGAATCCTGCAAGATCCTGCAAGATCTGGCACCCAAACCCGGGTCACTGCGAAGGATCCTGCAGGATCCTGCACCCACACCCAAGTCAGTGCGACCCTGGCACTGCAGGATCCTGCAAGATCCGGCGCTCTGGCTGACCCCCGCTTGCATTGACCCCCGCCTCAAGGCTCCCGAAGCCAGAGGAAGAACCGCCCAGGCACGAACCATTCGCGGCAACAGGCACCGCTCGCGGAGAGAGCCACCCCCACCTCCAAGAGGGCCCGAGCTCCGTCGCGCGAGGGGGCGGGGGCCAGGAACGCCGAGACAAAAAGTGCAGCCTCGCGACACAACAGATCACGACCAGAGCCCTGGACCCCATGCTTCTGCAGCATTTTTTCGAGCCAGATCGAGATGTAGGGGTCCCGGGGCTATATGAAGCTGGGCGAAGGCGCCCGTTGGGAAACAATCGCAAAGCCCTGATCTCAAGGAAGCGCCACTTGCGGAAAGAGCCGCCCCACTCCCCAAAGGGCCCCAGCTTTGTCGCGCGAGGGCGCGGGGGGGTCGGGGGGGCACCCCCGACGTCGCGATTTTGTCGCAGCGTGGACTCAAAAAGTTTCGACACATTCCCCAAGGCCGGCTTTTCATTCTGAGTCGTTTTGTTGGATGGTCCCGGGGCCCCGCGATGGCCCCCAGAGGTATGAAGGAACAACAACACCAACAAGACAAAAACGTCTACATGTTTTCGCGATGCGACGGGGCCTGTTGGCGGCGAGCACGGGGGGGAAGTGAGAAGGGGCGGGCCTTCTCAGAAGGCTCGGAAGTCCCCCGCCCTTCCGAGAAGTTCTCTAAGCCTTGCCCGAGGACATAGACAAGACGACTGCTCGGAAGGCGCGAGGGCGTCTGAGAAGTCCCGCCGCCTTCTGAAGGGGGCCTTCTCCTTCTCACCTCCCCCCCTCGCTCGCCAGCGAGTCTGGGTCTGTCGCGCGAGGCCGCGGAGTCGGTTGAGGGGGAGGGCTGGTCCTCCAGCTCGGAGATCTCGTGCCGCTTGCGCTCCTCCAGCGCCGCGAGCTGCTCGGCCAGCCGCTCTCGCTCCTGCTCTGCGGCGCAGCACCGAGAATGACTCCCTACCAGACCACCCCAACCCAACCCGAAGACCCGAATCTCGGGGTGTGGAGAGGTACGGGTTCCGCACGTGTTTGTTCAATGTTCCCCGACACCCCCCCCAGTTGGATTGGGGTGGTTTGGTGGGCGGTGGGAAAAGCACCAGCCGTTGCGGCCAGGAAGTGGTGCTTGGCGTGTCGCGGCGGCGGCCCCAGCGACACGCTGCACACTGCAAGCTGCTAGCGGCTAGCGTGTGGCTCCGCTCCGCGGGGCGGGGGGCTCGGGAGAAGCTCGGGACATTGACGCTCAGGGACGGGGACGTGGTCCGCGTCGCGCCGAAGCGTGGACGCCCAGAACCGGCGGCGCGACACGCTGAGCCAAAGTTCCTGACCAGCTGCGGGAGGGCGCCGAATATTGCTCCAGATTTCGCACAGTCAACCCGTATGGCCAGGATGCGCGACAAGGATGCAAGGGCCTTGGACGCCCATTTCGAAGCTTTTCGAGCGGGGCGCGGCCGACGAGGGTGGACTAGGATGGACCTAGGATGCAAGGATGCAAGGGCACTCCGGATTCCAAAATAAAGTGGGGGGGGGGGTCACGTTTGGGGGGGGTCTGATTTGAGCTGTCTCGGAGGGTTCGGGGGGTCTGGGCAAAGGGCCGCCCTTTCATGGATGGTCTGGGAGGGTCTAAAACTTCTCGTCTGGGAGGGTTGAGACCCCCTCCCTTTTATTACGAAATCTGGGGTACCCTTGGGGAGGTTGCCCATCCTCACTGTGCGGGTGGACTGTCATACGAAGGAGGGGGCCACAGCCCTCAGAGACGAGCCCTTTTTATAGACCCGCCCAGACCGGCCACGAAAGGGCTGCCTTTTGCCCACGCGCCCCTGGAACCCTCCAAGACAGCTCCTATACCATCAGACTTGGGGAAACCAGAGAGTACTGATACAATCGGGGCGTTGACCTAAGGAACCCTAAAGAAGGAACGAACGAGGCCCCTATTTTCCCATCGAAAACCAAAGGAAAACCTAAGGCAAGCTGCGAAACAATCAAGGAACGCGGAGCCCCTCCCCAACGAAAAGGGTTCATTCTTCAGTGCCCCGACTGTACCGCGACTCCATGGACCTCTCTCGGGGTGCGTTCTGGCCAGGATTCAGAAGCGAATTCAGCGGTGGCGACGAGGGCCTCCCAGGAGGCCCCAAAAGAGGAAAACGAGGAAAGGGTAGCAGTACGGGTACCTTTTCCTCCTCTGACGAGGCCCCCCCACCCCCAAAATCAGATCCCCCCCGACCCCCCCCCCCCGCAAATCAGACCACCCCCCTCTTCATTGTGGCGACGGCGGGACGCGGCGACGGTTGCGACGCTTAGCGGCTGCCCCCCCCCCCCCCCCCCCTGCGACGGCTGGGTACAGCTTCGGCCCCAGGATGCGCCTGGGGGGCGAGTTTGGGCGGGCTTTCGGCGGCGACGATAGGGGCGGGCATGACACGCATTCGCCCTGGAGCCTTTTCGAAGACATAGATCATCGGCGCACCTGAATACAGGTCTTGCTCTCCCCTGGGCTATTCGCCCCTATCGTCGCCTCTGAGTCCCCCCTTTTTCGCTGCGGGGCCCGGAGTATGCATAATTGCCTGCGCACTGGCCCTGGCCGGGCCCATCCTGGGGGTCCAGGGCGCGTGCCTCGGCGCCTTTGCTCCTTGGCTCGGCCAGGGAGGCACACTTTGCCGACCCTGTGCCTGGGCGTGAGGGGCAACGGTAGTCAGGGGGGGGACTGGCACAGGGGGGGTGCATCGGCCTGGACTCGGCGATGCATCGCCGATTGATCGGCAATAGGCCCCCGATAGTGAATCCGCACCTTGTTGCGCAGCTCGGCGCTGTCGGGCCCCTATCGGCGATCTATGGGCGTATGGGGGTCGATGCATCCCCCCCTATGCTTAGGTCGGGCGTCCCCCATACAGGCGGATCTTACATCAACAAAAACTAAAAGGATGCTCCCAATTGCCAAAATGCTGAATATTCCTCCTGTAGGGGGACACGCCCGACTTAACCCTATGCCTATCCCCCCCGATCGTTGCCCCCGAGAGAGCGTGAGCCTGGCCAGGCCCGGCGCATCTGCAACAGCCCTCGCCGCCTGGGGAGTTGCCTCCGCCTGGCCCCAAGAGGGGGTTGGCTTCCTGGTGCTTCTTAGGAGCCCACCTGAGCTATATTGTTCCAGCAGCGCATGACAGCCAAGCTCGGTTGATGAATCCCCTGGTCGTCAGTATGTGTCAAATCACGAAGGACAGCGCGCCCGAACGACGTTCTTATAAGCCCACCGGAGCGACGAAAGTAAACGGGCCTTGCGCGAGATGACATAGCGACCTTACGCCGCGGCTTATGCGGGCCGCCAGCGCGGCACGCCAAATTGAAACCGAGGGCGCTTACGCGCGACCTGACGCGGGCAGCTTACGCACCAGTCGGTGAAGACGACCCCGTTTTTGGCGTCTCTCGTCTGGTCTCTCAGAAACCATCCTGGAAGACGCCGGCCCCTTCTTAGACGCACCCCGACGTCTCAAAAGGCCACCCCACTTCCGCGCCACCCCCGTCTGGGGAAACCGATACCGCTACGCCCCGGAACTCTCCTGGGGTGCTGTATGCTGACCCGAACGCCAAGGCGAATCCAGCGGTGGCGACCAGGGCCTCCCGGGAGGCCCAAAAAGGGGAACACTAGGGAAAAGTAGCGGTATGAGTACCTTTTCCTCCTCTGAAGACGCGCCCCCCAAAAATCAGACCACCCGGACGATAATCGACGCTGATCGGCGCTAAAAACGAAATTAAGAAGGAAGGGTAGTGGTATGGGCACTCCGAGTTTCTTAGGAAACGTAAGGGGGGGCGTCACACCCGCCGACAACCCCACATCGACCCCCGTCGCGGGCAGCCGCCGCGCGCCGAAGGCGCTCCGACCCCCTTCGCGGCGCGACGACGAGGCGAGGTTGATAGTGGGCCTGTTTTCAACCACCACCACCATAAGTTGGAGGGGGGAAGGAGGTGGATGATGATGATGAGGAGGAGGAGGAGGAAGAAGAGGGGGCAGGCTGGCGCCCGCCTCGGCGAAGCAGCAGCGCGGCGACGCCGACGCTCGGGGCGGGTGGTCACGGAGGGTGACCTTATCCAAGTTACTCCATTACTCATCGGTCTCCCCCAGTCATAACAGGTGACTTTTTGAAGGTCACCCCATTACTCATAGGTCGCCCCCAGTAATTACAGATGACCTTACTAAGGTCACCCCCATGACCTTGCTAAGGTCACCCCCATGACTGGGAACGGAGGGGGGACCTTAAAGTCACCCACATGACTAATGGGCCAGCCCCATAATTAATAGGTCATCCCCACACTAAGGTGAACTTGTTAAGTTCTCCCCCCCCGATCAATGGATATCGGGGGAGGTGCCCTCTTCAAAATGCGGCCAGTGCCGCCTCGCTCGGCGGCGGAAATCCGCGATTTCCCATGGAAACGGGACCCGTCGCTAATCCACGCCCCCTTGATCCATGATTGCGATCGCCTGGCTAATGGGGAGTGAAGATAAGGGCTCTACGGGGGCACTTGGGAATCCTTTCTGGAACCTGCAGGGGCCCCAAAGGGGCCCGAAAAGGCCCCTTCTTTCCTTTCTTTCAGGAGGGATACAGCTCCACAAAGCTACCCTAGAGCTCCATTGCACAACAGAGAAGAATGCACAGAATTCGGGACTCTCACTCACTTGCACCACCATAACATCTCCCGGGGGTCGTTTTCCAAAGCGATTGCTTCAGCAAGGAATGAACTGATCGGGCTCTCGAAAGAAATTCCGGCTGCGACTATGGGGACATACTTTTCCACACCATTGTTGTCCAACACCGCGGTAATTAACCATGCGCTAGCTGAACATGTCGTCCGTGTTCCACCATCTGAGAATATCACAGTATTGCTGCCTGGTGGGATGTCCAAGTTACGCTCTTCCCTCCAGGCGCCTTTGACGACGTCCATGGTGCGATTGCAGAAGTGATCAGCCACTGTGTTCTTGCTCCGGTTGACCCAGCGCACCGGGTCACTCGCATCTTTTTCTAGGGCCCACTCAGGGCTCTTTTTTCTTCACACCCCCATGAAGTTCACCACCCATGACCACCCGCCCGAGACGCTGCATGCTGGACCTCTGGGGGCCCGGCTCGGGACCCAGGATGGTGGGCAAGGGAAACCTCCAGATCTCGGCGGCGCAACTTTTCAGCAACGGGCACCTTCGCCCGATCTCGAGACGGATGGGGTCTGGGGCTCCGGTCGTTTTAATGTTGCTGTTGTTGTTGTTGCTGCTGCTTGTTCGATGCTGCGCATTTTTTTGGGCAAGGTCGGATATGAGGGGGGCGACACCACCACCACCACCAGCGCGAAGAGCCAACGGGGGTTCTCCTGGTGGTGTGGTTGGATGCTGGTTCTGGGGACCTTCCTGGAGTCACTCGCTCCACTCGTGCGTCGAAGCTGCGTCGAACGTCCGTCGATTTGGGTCGACCCTGAGTCGAACCTGAGTCGAACCTGAATCGAACCTGATTCGAACTTGAAATGAACTTGAGTCGAACTGGGGTCGAATTGATCCGTTAGGTGGGCTCCAGGAAAGTCCCCAAAACGAGCATCTAAGTGTGGTCCCCCCCCCCACTCTCGCTCGAGACACTCCCTATCCCCAGCTCGGGGAGGCATCGTGGACCCACTCGCGAGAGGTGGCCCCCGCGAACACGGCCCCCCAAGCCGCGAGACCGCCCGCGTGATACGAACGTCCGCGCAGTGCGTACTCTCGAAACCAACGTGGACTCATGTGCGGGTACGTTCTTCTTTCGCTCCTGATCTTCTTCCTCCGGCAGGACACGCAGCGGACAGCGGGCGCGAAGCCTACACGAGAGGTGGTGCCGAAAGGCTCTCGCGCGGGCGAGCGGATAAGGCCGAGCGGCTCTCGCGGGCGTCAGGCGAAAGGAGCCCATGCCAGCGTGCGGCAGGATACAGGAGGGCCTCGAGTCTGACCAAAACGGCTTCACTGAAAGAGCGCGTGTATCTGAGAATTGCTTGCCACCAAATCTTGCCCTCCAGGGCAATCAAATCTGGGGCGGGGTAAACGGCCACGCCGTCAGCGCCCCGTCAGGAAGTTCCGAAGTTTTTATGTGCGACCGCCTGCCTGGGTAATCAAACCCATACTGCCTCGGACGCGCGGACTGGTGCCTACACACGGTGCGAAAGGAATCCGCAACACTGCACAGACGTGCGCAGGTCGTGACACCGAGGAGGCTCGGGGGCGTCACGGTAGCACGGTCGGGCGCTTTTGCTGAGCGTGCCGCGGCGGCGGCCACAGCGACACGCTATGCCGTATGCCATGCCCAGCGAGCTGATAGCGAGCCGCTCTGCTCAGCGGGGCGGGAGGCTGGGTGAAGCTCGAGACGTTGACGCTCGAGGGCTCGAGGGCCGAGACGTAGTTAGCGTGTCGCGCCGACGCGTTTTTGTGTGTGCTGTTTCTGCGCCAGCGCCACGGCGCGTCCGATCACGTGCGGAGCAGAGAGAAGGCAGCGCGGTGGCCAGCGAGAACACCTGCTCGGCGGCAAGTGCTGTGGCCAGCGAGGGCACTACTCATTCAGCTCCACAGCGAGCGAGCGCAACTGCTCTCTGTCAGGAGCTTTGGGGCGAGAGCGGCCGTTCAACAACTGCCTGGAGCACCTACTGTACTCAGGCTAGACTCGCTCCCCTACTCACTGTGCTCTTGCTGAGGCTCCTCTGGACACTCGACTCACGCAAATCGGCGTCGCATGAACTAATACTGACTGATACGCTTGGCCGGAAACAATCCCTAGCGAATGATTCTTCATCAACCGCCATCGGTGAGATCGCTCATCGCAGAACCCACATCCCAGTCCTTGTTAACTCACCAAGCTTGCGCCCCTCAGCCGCAGCCGCGGTGTGCGCAGGTCCTCAGCGCCACATGTCCAGGGAGGCTGCGGCCGTCAGCGGCGCTGCCAGCCCGCCGGCCAGGGCTGCTGCCTTTGAAAGGGCTGCTGCTGCAGCTGTGCCGCCACCGCGCCGAAGCCAGGCGGCGCGGGCGCCGGCGCGGCAGGGAACCCTGCCGACCGCACAACGGCCCAGGGCTGCACCACCTGCAGCGGCGGCGGCGGCGGCTGCACGTGCTGCAGCTGCAGCGGCTGCTGCCTCGTCTGCGGCGCCTGCGGCGGCTGCGCTCTCGGCTGCTGCGGCTGCAACGGCTGCTGGTTCGCCTGCATCTCGATCTGCTCGATCTGCCTGTGCTCTTCCGCCGTGAGGCCCGAGGGGGTCACCGGCGCCTTGAATATCTCCTTACCGATCAGGGCAAGGATGAACACGTCGGCGATGCCTACCAGCGCGTACAGGCCCGCCCCGGGAGTGATCGCCCGCTGCTCTGGGGCGGTGAGCACGTAGCCCAGCGCGGTGAACGTCAGGAAGCCACCGTCGGCTTCGATCCAGTGGATCATGGCGCAGTAGATCAGGCCGGTCGCGAGCGCGGCGATGCCGCACATCCTGGAGCAGTGTCTCGCAGCGCTCCTGAGCTTCGTGTGCAGCTTCCAGCGGGGCTCCACTCTCGAGGGTGGGACGAGCAGCTGATAGTCGTTCACCAGGAACCACAGCACAACCGCGTGCGTGACCAGGGCCGCGACCAAGAACACGGTGCAGACCGCGGAGGCCGCGGCCACCATGCCGCAGGGGGAAAGGAACCCGGACACTCTGCACGCCTGGCTGAAGAAGAGGCTCGCCTCGGAGTGGCACAGGCCTGGCATCTTGTAGGTCACTATGTCCAGGGAGTCGCCCTCGCAGAGGGAGTCGATGCTGATGGCGAAATCTTCGAGCCCAAGCCCGGGCTTGTCCTCCCACGGCTCGGACAGGAAGGCTTTGTGCAGCAGGTGGCAACTGCTGTCGGCCTCGTCGAAGCTCAGGCTGCACCACATCAGCGAGCACTTCCACTCGGCCCTGGGGCCCACGGCCAGGAGGTGCAGCCCGACGAACCTGTACTGCTGCTTCTGGAGCGGGGCAAAGAAGTAGCCCAAGAACATTGCTAAGATCGCGACGACGAGCCAGATGACGCTCCCCCAGAGGAGCGGCATGCGCTCCACCCTCTCTCTTCTCTCGACGCTGCTCAGCAGGGTGAGGTCGCGCATGTCCCCCTGCTCCCCTGCTTGGTACGCCATCGTGGCGCGCTGCCTGGTCTTCCTCTTCTCCAGCTCCTTCTGGTAGATGCGAGACACGTCATCGTGTCGGCCGACGGTGTGGTCGACTGCATCGTTGACTGCGAACCGAAGTTCGGGTCGGGCGAAAGGGGGGGATAGCAAAGGGGGTGTTGAGACTCAGCTCACGTAGCTGATTTTCCTGGCGCCTCCAAGCGCCGGAGGCGGCTATGTATGAAGGGGCCCCAGGACACACAAATAAATACACACAAATAAAAAGATTCCTCATAGTTCCCCATATTTTCTGGGTTTTTGTCTTCCCCCCCACTTGCCATATTTTCCCATATTTTCTGGTGGATCGACGATTAATTGTGTCTGTGTTTTTGTTCCCTCCTGAATGTATCGAGGAGTGGGCCCCTCGGTGAGGCCGAAACCAGCAGGTGCATGCAGCAAATTTCGTGACCCCCCCTTTCCCAATCCCCCCCTTTCGCCCGGCCCGAGAAGTGCCCTGCCCCCCGCAGCCATGGCCCCGCGGCCGGCGGCGGCCCGGCCGCCCGCCGGCGCGCCGCCCGCGGCGGCCCCCTCGGGCGCAGCGCGCGCATCCGAGCCGGCTCCTCGAGCCCAAGAGGCTATGAGGCGTGCCGCGCCGACGCGCTGAGGGCCAGAGCCGGCTCCGCCCGACACCTGCCGTAGCTCGGACGTCCATTTCCTGTGCATTGTTCGGTTTCGTGCGTGTTTTTTGTTGCTCGATGGTCCAGGATGGTCCTCGATGGTTCTCGCCGAGAAAAATATGCACACGTCCGAGCGATGCCAAGAACACGAAGCAAGCGCTCCAAGCCGCAGCACGAGGACCCTGCGAGCCGCGGCGGTGCCAAAGCTGGGAGTCTCCCGGCTGCGTCCGCTCTCGGCCGCAGGGCTCGAGCCCTGGACTCCCGAAGCCGAGATTCTTGCCGAGGCGGCCCCCCGACGCTCACCAGACCAGGTTCGGCTGCGTGCGTTTGTTTGTTGGGGGATTTGGCCCTGGGGGCAACACCAAACGCTGTTTCGACTGTGGTGCTCTATAGCTTACGCTCTATAGCCTACGGTCAGGACCTGCTGGATAGCGTGTCGCGATGGCGGCACCTTCGACACGCCATATGCCTTGGGAGTGGACAGCGCGTGTCGCTCCCCTGCGCAGGGCGGGAGACTCGGAAAGGCTCGGGACGCTGGAGCCTGGGGATCTGGGAAGTGGACAGCGCGTCGTGCCGAAGCGTGGTGGGCCAGGACCGGCGGCGCGATACGCTGAGCCACAAGTTCCCGGGAGACCGCGAAGACATCCGAGGAGCTCCGGCATCGACGCACACGCGAAGCCGAGCAGGAAGACACTGGAGGAGGAGGAGGAGGAGGAGGAGGAGGAGGAGGGAGAGGGGGCGGAGGAGGAAGAAGAGGATCTTCGATCCTGGATGCCGCTTCGCCTCCCCGATGTGCGCGCGGGAGGGAGAAAGACGGAGGAGGCAGAGAGGGAGGAACGGGGGCGGAGATAGAGACAGGGAGGGAGGGAGAGATGAAGAGAAGGAGGAGGAGGAGGAGGAGGAGGAGGAGGAGGAGAAGGAGAATGAGGAGGAGCGACCGTACCGAATGAGTCCGTACCTACGGCGCGACAGCGCGCTCAGCAACCAATGGCGGCCTTCGCTGCTGCCAGAATCGTGTAATGAAATGTGGGAGTGGTGGGAGCGCTCCCTCGTGCATCATACTCTGCCTTCAACTTGTGATATATGTGAAACGCCAGAACGTTTACCTGATGCAAGCGAGCACGTGGATACTCTCGCTCAGGATCGGGCTCCATCCCCAATCCGAGGCGAGTAATGGGGGAGGCGGGCAAGTGATCACGAGGAAGAGCGAGGAGGAGAAGCAGGCGAGGGCAGGAAAGGTAGTGGCTGAAATCGTCACTGGCTGGGGGCTCGCATCCGAAAAGACAAGGCCGGCGGTCCATGGAGGGGATCCGTGCAGATGTAGTCCAAGCTCCAGCCAAGGTCTTTAAATGGGCCCATGCCCAGGAGGGCGGGGATCTCGCAAGAATCCTCCGGAGCGCGATCCATCGCAGGCTGATCTCATGATCCGGGAGTTGGGGGAAGTGGAGGAGCCAGGAGTAGAGGCGACGACGGAGAAGGGAGGGCATGAGGTCAGGGAACAAAGATAGCCGAAGCGATCGAGTGAACACTCGCTGTGGGCGGGGGCGGCGTCCGTCCACCCCGGCAGTGCGGAGTTCCACGTTGGCCGCGGCCGCACTCTCTTGCCATGCGTGCTGGGGGATGCCCATGGGGGGAGTGGAGGACAAAGACGCAAAGTATTCAACTATGCTGACGCGGTTCCTCCACCACTCGGGGGAGAGAGCACCTCGGAGGAAATCCACGAGAGGACCATGCAACCAGGCATGCTCGTGCAGTTGCGCCAGTGCTGCCCTCCACCCGTCCGCAGGCCCCACCTCTAAAGTGTGGTGGGCCGTCCGCCATGCCGCTGCCGCCGCTGTCGTGCGGAGCGGGGATGGGGTGGCTGAGGGGAGCCAGCTTCCAATGCTCAACAATTCAGCTAACGCGAAGGAGTTTGGGGGGAGACGCAGGAAGCGGTGGAGGACGTGACGCTCAGCAGAGAGCACAGCAGCGGGGAGGGGGAAAAGTTGGGAAAGATAGTGGCACACTGGCAAGACCCCCATGTTATAGATTCTGCAACTCGCTTCTGCTGGGGCCCTGGTGAGGGACGTGTCCTTGGTCCTGGTTTCCCACTTTCGCGTCGCACTCGTCCACTGATCCTCCAGACCAGCCTCGGGGCCGACCAGAATCCCCAGATATGGGGTGCAGCCGGCAACCTTGAACGCGCCCCACGCCGGGACCAAGTCTTGGAGAAGCTGGCGCATCTGAAGGGCAACAGCTTCTGTGAAGCGCTGCCCCAAAGGAACTAGTACGCACTTGGCTGGCTGCAGCTCCAGAGTGGCGACCTTTTCCGCCGCCTCGAATGGCGGGACCAGGATGGGGAGATCACGAATGGAGGGGAGGGAGGTGCCCACATCGTCCGCGCAGGCGCCGTTCATCGGCGGCACGCTTGGGAGGTGCTGGATCTGCGCCGTCTGCGCTTCCAGGTGCCTCAGAAATGGGTCCATGGCGAAAGCCCAGAGGGTGCCCGAGAAGGGACACCCCTGGGCAACACCAGAAGTTAAAAAGAACATGGGGGAGCGGAGGGAGCCAGCCTTGAGGTAAGCGAGAGAGGAGGCGTAGACGGCATCCACAAAGGCCAAGTAGCCCTCAGGGATCTTGTGCTTGAGGAGCACGCGGCGGAGAAACTGCCGGGACAGCGAGGGGAACGCTGCCTTGAAATCAAAGGACACAAAAACAGGTATCATCTCACTGTGGTGGCTCGCAGCCCTGCAGTACGCATCGTGCGAGACAATGTGGTGCAAGAAATTCCTCCCCCGAACGAATCCCTGCTGAACGGGGTGCGCTCGCTCACCGATGACCTTGGCTAACTCGTGGTTCGCGGCGGTCGTCATGGCCTTGACGTCGGTGTTCTTCATGGTCAGGGGTCGCACCTGCCCAGCCCCTCTGACGACGTCAACCGCGTCGGCGGGCTCATCGCCCGTTGGCACAAATGCCAGGTTCGAGAAGTTGAGGCCCCACGGCGGCACGCGCCCAGCAAAGAGGCCCACCATCATAGAGTAGAGGGCCTGCAAGAGCCGCTCGTCCAGCAGCCACGCCGAAGCAGGTAGGCGGTCAGGTCCGGGCGCCGAGGGTTTAGCCCGTCGGAGTGCCCCAGCCAGCGCCTGCATCGACGGAGTGGGCAACTGCGGAGCCTCGTACTCGGGGATGTGCTCGTCCAGGTACTGGTTGATCATGGCCTCATCAACCATTTTGCCGCGGAAGACGGGGCTCCAGTGGCGGAGTAGCTCGGCGCGCATGGGGGCGTCGCCGTGCAATGTCTCCGACTGATGGCCAGGGCTGTCGACGCGAATGCCGCTTAGCTGGAGGCGTCGACGGAACGGTGCCCACAGCTGCGCCCGGCGGCAAGCAGCGCGATGTTGCGTCCGCAGCTGCGTTGCCGAGGGGCCGGCGCCTCCAGGACGGAGCCGGGCCGCGTCCTCAGCGCGCTGTGCCGCAAGGCTCTGCATGCGTTCGTGCCATTGTGCGTGGAGGTGGATCGACTGGTTGAGGAAGGCCTCGGGGTCGCGCAAAGTCACGCCGGACTCGCCGAGGAGCAAGTGCCGTGGAGTCAATGAGGGTATGGGCCAAGGCCGCGTCCTGCCGCCAGATGGCCCTTGCAATGGCCATGGGAGCGATTCGCCTGCCATCGCCAGCCTCCTCGGAGCCGTCCCCGATCGGTAGCCGGTGGAGCTCCTTCCGGGCGAGGCGGGCCGCCTCGTGCAGCAGAGTCTTGACGAAGGCCCAGCGCTCCGACGTGCCCATGGCGTCCAAGTCGGTGCAATCGAGGAACGCCTTCATGTGCCGCGCGAAACGGGGCGACCTGAAGATGCTTCCTGGGATTGCCTGCGCGTCGCGAGGCGACTCCGCCTTCGGCCGGATGGTCAGCTGCACGATGGCGTGGTCGCTGAGGCCCCAGTCCGAGAGGGAGGCCGCCTCCTGCCAGATCTCCATCGCGATGTGCGTCTCCGCAGCCCAGGGCGACCGCAGCGAGACAAACGCGCGGTTAATGAAGGAGCTGCTGTAGGACGCCATGGAGAAGTACCTCGGGAGCTCACAGCACACCTCCAGCATGGGGCCCTGGAAGAGGCGCCTCCAGAAGGATTGGCCTGCCTGGGCGCGGTGCCACACCGAGCCGACCTCCGGAGGAGCTCGCGGGGGCAATCCATCTTCAGAGTGTTCCGGCGGGGCTCCCCCAGAACCTTCTGAGCCCAAATGCGCGTCGGCATCAAAACTGTCCGGCGCTGCGCCATCTGGGCGGCCGGGAGGATCGCGCGGGCGCCGAACTCGAGCCCGTGCAGGTTGTGGACGAAGGTGTTGAACAGGTTCATGGTCGCTGACGTTGAAGTCGCCGATGGCGACAAACAGGCGATGACGCTCAGCCCGTTGTGCCCAGCGGGCCGAGGAGTCCCACGCAGTACGGATATGCGCCCGTTCTGAGAGAGACAAATCAAAACTGTGGATATTCATCAGCTTCAAATACTGGTTCCTGGCGGGATTGGAAATCAGCAGCGTGGCAACCCGCCCGGCCGCCAACGGCACGAAGTCGAAGGTCGGGATGAGGGAGGGGTCGATCGCGGCCAAAGTGCGGTCCGAGTGCCAGGGGGCCAGGAAAGCGATGCCTCCAGTGCCAGGGGTGGCCCCGGCGGAGAAAAAGAGACGGTACTGGTAGGGGCACTGTCGGAGATACGCGCGGAGCGCGGGCTCCCGACCATGAACTTCCTGGAGAAGAATGGCCATGCCTCGGCGCATCAACTGCTCCAGGCGGGCCCATTTGCCACGCCGTTGGTGACCGCGATGGCACATGAGTCCGTGGGCATTCCACGTGGCCACCCGGAGACCGGATGCACCTGGAGGGGACTGCGCATCGCCCAGCAGCCAAGGGCACCAGCGATCGTTAGGAAGACAACCACGTCGATGTGTTGACCGCCGAGTGCGCCAAAGCAGTCTGGAGACGGCGCTGGACCTCCGCCTTGTCGATCCCTCGGGTGTCCGCCGCGGGGTCCCAGAAGAGCTTGCTTGGCTCATCGAAGCCCTGGGGCACCAGCTCGACGACAGGCACGGAGTTCTGGCTGATGAGGCCGCGCGAGCGGTTCGCAGACCAGGCAGCCTGCGGGTGCATCTCGGTGAGGAGCGCCAGGGCCCGCTTCGTATGCATCTCCCTCCGGACCTGCCTGGGCGCCTTGTCAGCCCCGACATAGAGCGGGCACTGCTGGCCCGAAGGCGTGGTGACAGAGAAGGTGCGCCATTGTCCGCCGGGCCGGCGCAGCGCTCTGGTGAGCGCGACGGCGCGCGGGGCTGCCGCGGGGCCACCGCGGACGTGGATGTAGAAGCGCTTGGCGGGGCCTGCGGGGCACACCACGTCGACGTGCTCCGTGTCCACGCCCGAGTCGGAGATCCACTCACGCAGGCTGGCCTTGACCGCGTCGGTGGCCAGGAGCTGGGGCGAGCCTGCGGTGAACATGCACGGGTCGGCATCACGGTCGTACTCCGCCAAGCGCGCCAGGTCCGTGGCCGAGAGCTGGCGCTCGGCAATGGCGAGGGACGCCTTGATCTCGTCCACGCTCTTTTTGAGGCGCTCGTTCTCCTGGGCCATGCGGTGCTGCTCTTGCCGGAGCTGCTGGATGTCAGTGTCGTGACCGTCGAGTCGCCTGATGGCAGGGTCGAAGAACTCGGACATGGTTTTGAGCATCTCGGTCTGCGCCGCCGCCATGTTGCACTGACACACCTGCTCCATCTGCGTGACCGTGGAGTCCATGTGAGATTTGACCACCCTGGAGAGCGCGGCGTGCATCTCCTCCGAGAGGGCGCCGCGCGTGCCAGTGCGTGCAGCCGAACCCGCGGCGGGCTGCGCAGCCGGCGGCTGCGAAGGCTGCGAGGGGAAGGTGGGCATCGCCTCCAGCTGTGCGGCCAGTGTAGCGCTGGCCGCGGCCGAAGATGAGCCCGCTGCGCCTGGAATGAGGTCTCCCGAGGCGGGGCCACCACGTGGGGGACGCTGGCCATTCCGCCAGGGGTCTTGTTCTTGGAGAGCGTCATGGGCATCCAGCGCCGCGCAGGTGGCCTCAGCTGCTGCAGTACGGGCGCGACGCTCTGGACGGCGGTCGCCGCGACGCCGGGAGCGGCGTGCGGGGCCATCTTTATCGCTCCGGCTGTGCGATCGAGGCGCTTCGGAGTCGTCACTATGGGAATCCATGGCGGCGAGATCGTAGTATTGAGTTAAAACTTGTCCCTCGGCGCACGGGGGCTCCCGAGGGGATCGTGAGAAGTAAGGCCTCCTGGCGGCCTTGGTCCAAAATGGCTTGAGCCAAAATGGCTACGGAGGATAATGAGGAGGAGGAGGAGGAGGAGGAAGAGGAAGAGGATAGAGCCCCTCCTCTTCCTCTTCCTCTTCCTCCTCCTCCTCCTCAGGAGAATGAGGAGGAGGAGGAAGAGGAAGAGGAGGAGCAGAAAGAGGGGGAAAGGAGGGAAAGGGAAGAAGAGGCGAATGCAGGGAGGGAGGGAGGAGGGATGAGGGAGGAGGAAATGGATGAGGGGGCAGGAGGGGGAGGAGGGAGAAAGATGGGGACATGGGGAGATGAAGGGATGGGGGGAAGAGGCGGAGAAGAGGATGAGAGGGGAGGATGGGAGGAGGATCGTTGATCCTGGACGCTGTCTCTTCTCTTCACCACCTCGCCCTCCTCCGCAACCGCGTCGGCGCGCCTGGACTCGAGATCTTGGGCGGACTTCTCCTGGGCGGGCCGGGCTTCAAATCTCTTCTCTCGTCGCCGTCCGTGGTTGCCCAGCGCGCGCGCGGCCGGCTTCAAATTCGGCAGAGCACAAAGAATTAATTATTGCCAGCGCGGACCCCAAACAATGCGCTGCTGTACTCTCGGTGCGTACTGTGGGTGGTGCAGAGCTCTTAGTGTGTGTGTGTGAGTGTGTGTGAGTGTGTGTGGCCAATCGTTCGCAAACTCGATTGGATTCGGGGATCTTCTGACCCGGATCAACCCAGACCTGGGTCAGTCAGGCCTTGCAGAATCCTGCAAGATCCTGCAATCTCCTGCGCCAAAGCCCGGGTCAATGCGAAGAATCCTGCAAGATTCTGCAGGGTCCTGCACCCAAACCCGGGTCAGTGCGCCCCTGGCCCTGCAGGATCCTGCGGGATCAGGCGCTCTGGCTGACCCCCTTTTGCATTGACCCCCGTCTCTAGAGCCCCGATGGCTCCGCCCGCACCCGCTCCGGGGTTGGGCAGCCATCCGGCTATGGTACTGGTCGTCACGCACCCTTCTACCCGGAATGTACATCCCCGCGCTGGGCCCCGCCTCCGCCTGGCCCGCTGACGCAGCAGCCACCGCGGGCTCGCCGGCGGGGCTGGCCGCACCGCTCGCTCGGGGAGCGATCCGTCCCCCCCTGAGCCGTTTGCTCCGTCCGCCCCTCTTTCGGCCGCGCCCTCCCCCCCCTCCTCCTCTGGCATGGTGGCACAAGTCGCTCTAACGGCATCCTTGTTTAGGCATCCCATCGCCAGCGCAGACGTCCCCTGCCTAGCCGCCGACGCAAAAGTGTGTGTGTGGCCATCCGAGCGCGACCACTTCCCGTACTCAGGGGGACATCCCGCCCACACACCCGCCACTTGTTGGCAAGACTCAGATGGCGTCAGGCTGGCCATAGCTCGGACGTCCATTCCCCGCACATGTTTCGATTCCGTGCGTGCATTTTGTTCGCATTGTGAACCAAGCTGCTCCTCGAGGATCCCCGCCGAGACAGAATTGCACTCGTCCGAGCGCTGCCAAGGGGACAGGCTGCTCGGTGGAGCGTGCTCGCCAATCCCAACGCGCACAACGACGCGCGGACCCTGCTCTCGGGCCGGGCGACAGGGGGGGGATAGCAAAGGGGGGGTGTGAGAATCAGCTCACATAGCTGATTTCCCCGGCGCCTCCCAGCGCCGGGAGGCGCCCGTGTATCGAGGAATGGGCCCGGCGGCGGGGCCGAAACGCGCTGCATGCAGCAGATTTCGCACCCCCCCCTCTCCCAATCCCCCCTTTCTCGGGAGCGGCCAAGAGGGGGGTGTCCAAGAGGGGGGGGTGCAAATCATGAGTGGCGGCATGTGCGCGGCCCAGCGGGGGGGCCAGGGACGTAATGAAATAAGAAGAGGCGCCATGAAATCTGGGGAAATATCATGGCCCACGCCATGATACCCCCCCCCCTAGTCCTCACCCCCCCTCTTTGCCGCCCCCGACTTTCGCCCGACCCGATACTCGCGCGTGCAGGCCCATGGCTCGGCCGGGCGGGTGCGCCCGGCCAGCGGCGACGAGGGACCACGCCTCCCCGGACCCTCGCGGGGTGCCCCCGGGAGCAGGCGCGAGGAACCCCGACGCCGAGCACTGCTGGGGGGAAGAGGCACGAAGAGAGAGAGCTTGGGAGCGGCCAAGAAGGGGGTGTCCAAGAGGGGGGGGTGCATATCATGACCGGCGGCACGTGCGCGGCCCAGCGGGGGGGGCCAGGGACGCAATGGAATGAGGAGAGGCGCCCTGAAATCAGAGGAAATATCATGGCTCCCGCCATGAGATCCACCCCCCACTAGTCTGAAGTTGGGCCTGTCCCCCCCTACAGGAGAACTTCCGACGAAAAATACAAAATCCAAAAAAAAAATCAAAAAAATCCCAAAAAATAGTAGGGGGGACTATTTTTTGACTTTTGTTTGACCTTTTTGGAGGCATTTTGGGGTGTTTTTTTTATTTTTCGTCGAAAATCCCCCTGTAGGGGGACACGCCCGATTTAACCCTAGTCCTCACCCCCCTCTCTGCCGCCCCCGAGGAGACGACGCCTGCCCCCCGACTCCCCCGAGGGAGGCGGGCCCGGGACTCCACGGCCTGCCCCGGGGCCAACGCCTCGTCCCGAGCCGCTCTCTGGAAGCCGCGGGGGAGGGCCCGGGAGCGGCCCCGCAGGGGGCTGCAAGCCAACCACAGAGCACGGAACCTCGCCGTCGCTTCCCCAAAGATTGCTACTTCTCTTACAGTCATCGGCCTGACCTAAGGAACGACAAATAAGGAACGAAGCCCTTAAAACAAAAACCGCATGCAAGCCTAAGGAACGACCGAGCCCCTTTTGAAAAGTAAGTGTTCCTTACTCAAGCCGCTCACTGCACTTCCGGAGCCGCTCTCTGGAAGCCGCGGGGGAGGGCCCAGCAACGGCCCCACGGGAGGCTGCAGGCCAACAACAGAGCACGGAACCTCGCTGTCCCTTCCGATACTTCTCTTACTGCCGGAGCCGCTCTCTGGAAGCCGCGGGGGAGGGCCCAGGAGCGGCCCCGCACGAGGCTGCAGGCCAACAGCAGAGCACGGAACCTCGCTGTCGCTTCCCCAGAGATTGCTACTTCTCTTACTTCCAGAGCCACTCTCTGGAAGCCGCGGGGGAGGGCCCGGCAACGGCCCCACGGGAGGCTGCAGGCCAACGTACAGAGCACGGAACCTCGCTGTCCCTTCCCCAAAGATTGTTTCTTGGGCGCCCCAGTGATCTGGGGTAACTCGGGTCCGGGGTAACTCGGGTGGATTCCCGTAAAACGAACCCGAGTTAGCCCTGACCCGAATTACCCCTGATGATTTTGGGTTCTGAACGCCCGAACCATCTGGGGTGACTCGGGTCCGGGGTAACCCGGGTTCGGAATGCCAAAAAACGAACCCGAGTTAGCCCTGACCCGAGTTACCCCTATACTTTCGGTAGCGGTCGTGGCCCCGTGGGTGGGCGGGAGGCACCGGGTAACAGCAAAGCTCGGGCGGTGTGCGGGGGGGGGGGGGGGCACGTCGGGGCGGGGGCGCGCTGCGCTCTCCACCGGGTGCGCCTGCGAGCACCAGCTTCGGGGGGGGGGGATCCAGGCCCGCCTCCCTGCGTACGCTCGCTACCGCTGCGCCAGCCTCCGAGACCCCTGACCGCACCCTCCCCGGCACCTCCGGCGCCCAGCTCTTCCTCCATGAGTGGGCCCCTGGAGGTCTGGACCACTTCCCTGGGGCCGGCTCTCCATCCCGAGTCGTTCGTGGACGGCCCTGGGGCCCTGGGGCCCGTTGAGGGCCCCCAGAGGCCGAAAAATGAGAAACAAAAGCACACACACACAACAAAAAAACAGGAAGAACGAAACGGCCGCGTAAATTGTCTGGCAGCTGCTAAATGGTAAATGAAAAAAAACTGCAGCAGGGCTGGGAGTGCCCTCGGGGGCGCCGAGCCCTGCCGACGAGGACCGCGCCGACGGCACGGCGTCGCCGCGGCACTCCCGCTCGACCAGGGCTGCGGCCCCCGAGCATGTCCGCATTGTTTGCTGCCCCCCGAGGTCCAGGAAGACTGGCTCCCCACGCGGCGGATCGGTGGCGGGTTCCAGAAACCCTGCACCCCAAAAAACTGGCAGATGCGGGTCCCGAGAATATGCGCCACCACCACCTCCAGCCCCCCTCCTCCTCTATACCCTCCTCCTCCCCTCCTCTTTCCTGGGAGCGGGATGGGGACGCCACCACCATCTCCAGCCCCCCTCCCTCCTCTCCCCTCCTCCTCCCCTCCTCTTTCCTGGGAGAGGGACGGGGTTAGAGAGGTGGTGGTGGTGACCTTCTTTTGGTCCCGCATCAGATCTTCGAGGGCTGCCTCTTACCTCTGCCGGCTTCCGCCGGCCTCCTGGCAGCCTCCGCCGGTGGAGCCGCCCCCATCTTACGTCCGCAGCCTTCCGCCGATGCCGAGATGCCCGCGACGTCGACCCCCGAAGAGGCGCGGCCTTCTCGTGAATCGGGGACGCACGAACCCGGGGCAACGCAAACCGGGGTCAGTCAGGCCTTGCAGGATCCTGCAAGGTCCTGCGCCCAAGCCCGGGTCAGTGCACCCCTCCGGCCCTGCAGGATCCCGCAAGGCGCCCGGAACGACACACGTCTGCCTGGACCCCCGTCTCTGGAGCCCCGATGGAACGCCCCAGACGGAACTCCCACCCTCTCCCGCAGCACCTCCTGCTGGCGGCCGGGCCGGGGGGTCGATGTCCAGCCGCGGGAGGGCGCCTGACCCCTCCGTGGACCAGGGCCGCGCCGAGGGCGAGATTGCGTCGTCGCCCTGAGCACTAAGACCCCCAACACACCGTAATCCCCACAGGGTGTCGAACACCTGGCAGATGGAGGTCCGACCTTCGCTCCAGAGGCGAGTTTGTGCCTGCGGCATGGGGGTGTGCTTTGCCTCCATCCTGGACAGAGGTTCGACATCCCGAGCAGAAGCTTTCGGTCCTCTGGGCCCATCGCCTCTCCTCTCTCCTCCTCCTCCCCCCTCCATCCTCCCTCCTCTTTCTCCATGGCCCACCGCCACCACCTTCCCACTCTCTGGGCATATCTCCTCACCTCCCTCCTCTACTGATCAGCAATGAAAATACCCCTGACCCTTTGGGAGGGGACCCAAGTTGAGAGGGCGAACGACATTAGGGATATGGTTCATAATTTCGCAGACTTCTCAGACGAAACCACGCTTTTCCTCCCCTCCCCCTCCCGCCACCGTGTCCCGCCCCCTGCGACCCTCCAGCCTGGAGGCTCGAGGCCTAGAGGCCTGGAGGCTCCAGGCCTCCGTGAACCAGCTGCCCAGCGCGCCCGAGCGGCCTGCCGACAAGAGAACAGATCGCCCGAAGGGAGACGACGCCAGGGCGAGGGCAGCCTCGGGCAAAGGTCAATCGAGAATCTCTAAGAGCCAGCGGTTCTGGAGGATACATCAGGCGCCGCGGCATTCTCAGAGAGATCCAGATCGCTCTGAGAGCGTTCCAGAGCGCTTTGGAACGGATGTGTCCTCGTCCTCGTCCCGTCCGAAGACCACCTCCCCGCCCCTCCCACGACGACCCTGATATCAGAGGTCGCAACGAAATACGGCATCGCAGAACATCACAATCGGAGCCGTAGGCTCCATCCTTCTGCGGCGATCCTTGAGCCAGACGGGTGCGAGGAATGCCCCAGGGCCCGATGTTGGGCGAAAACGCCAGGTGGCCCCGTAGACCCGGACACGGTAGACCCGGACATCCAACACCCCTGGAAACCAATTTTGCCAGACGGCGGCACGAACAAAAAAACTGCACTGCAGCATTTCCAAAATAAACCCGGACACAGGCCCTGAAGGCCTGCAAGACCCCCCTAAACCCGGACACAAATTCGAACCCTGCAGCGCAGCAGACAACACATGCACGGGTACTGAAAAATGTGACATTGCAGGAAAGGGTGTCGTTTCCTTGGTTTTGCGTGTCCTGGTTTATCCGTGTGCTGGTCTTCGGGGGCCTGGTTTAGTCATCGTGACGCCCGGATCTCAGAGGAGAACGGCGGCGAGGACGAGGAGCGAGGAAGACGACGACGGCGCCGACGACGGGCCTTGACGGGTCCAAGCGTCGGGGCGCGTGGCAGAGGCGACCCGAGCGCGAGATCGGCTCCCGTGCCGACCTGACCAGCCTTGCCGCGCAAGGCTCCCGACCCCCCCCCCGCGCACCGAGACTGCGCTCGGGGCGGGGGCCCCGCACCGCACGGAGGGGGGGGGGGGTTAAAGGCAAACTCCGGACCTACGGCGCCGCCGCCGCCGACGCCGACGAAGACGAAGACGACGGCGACGGCGACGACGACGACGATGACGACGCCGACGCCGACGCCGACGCCGAGGCCGACGACGAGGACGACGACAACGACGACGACGAAGCTCCTCGAGGGCCTTTGCGAGCGAGGCGTGCTCGAGCTCAAGCTCCTGGAGCTTCTCCTCGCAGGAGAAAGGTGCGAGGCGGGGATGTATCCGCAACCGCTGCCCGAGGCATCGACCTTCGCAGACCTCCACCTCGGAAGAACAGGACCTCACCATGCACCACCGCTGGGCCAGTGCAGGCTCCGCCTGGGGCCAGGACTGGTGTATTTTGTTCGCGCTTCCGCGGGCCACTGAGCGCTACGTATTCGACCATGGACGACCTGCTATCCATCGGCCGTGGGCGGTCTTCGGCGATCTTCTGACGGACTTCTGCGGTCTTCGGACGGCCCTCCGGCGGTCTTGGGCGGTCTTCTGACGGTCTTCGGCGCGGAAGCCGGGCTGTTGCGTGCAACTGCACATTCATGATCAAGCACCCAGTGAACCTCCAACAAGCTGGGATTCCTGTCATTTCTGGTCGCGGTCGTTGCCTGGGGGGAGTGGGCGGGTACAGGCAACGCTTGGGCAGGGTTGGATACGTCGGGGCGGGTGCGCGCTGCGATCGCAATCGCACGCGCGCGAGCACCAACATGCGGGGGGCGGGGCCCACGCCCTCACCTGCTTACGATCGCTACGGTTACCTGGGGGCGGGGGGCCCCGGGCAACGACCGCTACGCACCAGAAGATGAAGCAATGTGCCTTCCGCACCACGGAGAGGCGACGGCTATCCCGCGAAACGGAAAGGGGGCCAGGGTCAACCGGCCGCAACGGGTGATGACCAAGAGAAACAAGCCCCTCCGAGCCCAAAGCCGCAGGTTGCCCGAGGACTCGGAATTTGGCGACAGAACTTGTTTTTGTTGTTGTTGCGCTCGTGGTGGCTCCCCCTCGCAGAGCCCTGCCCCGGAAGCTCCCTCCCCGAGGTCTCGAGGCGCCTGCGTCTTGCTCGGGCGCTCGCGCTCTCGGGGCTGGGCTGTGGCGTGGAGGTCCAGTGCGGGCGGCGCACGAGCCATGCAGAGCGTGTTCTCTGGAGCAGACCTGCGCGCGGCACAGTGCGCGAGAAGGCTGCAAGGGCCTTGGACGCCCATCTCGAAGCTTCTCGAGCGGAACGCGGCCAACAGTGGCCAAGGATGGACCGAGGAGGCAAGGATGCAAGGGTACCCTTGGGAAGGATGCCCATCCTTATTATGCGGGCTGACTGTGCATGGGCTGTCAGAGCACGAACACGCGAGCCGGAGTCCCTTCACGCTCTTCATGGGACGCACAGAGACATGATAATACCATATGTCCTCCTTGGAGGCGCGCGTCCGACCCGAACATCTGGTATATCCATCTCGTAGAATTCGTGTCCCGAGCGGTGTGGCCAGAAAGCGCCCGCCACGACGCATGCACTAGAAGATTTCTCGGTGCGCACGTCGCCCCGGGGGGGGGGGGGGGGGGCGACGCACACATAGTATGAATATGTTGGGGTGACGCCGCCTTCGCACCTCCCCATGTCTTCATCAAGGCGACCACGCTCCAACCGCGCGGGGCGGCGGGGTCTGCCCCCGCACGGGGCCGTTAACCGAACAAGCACACCGTCGGGAGCTTCTGCGCAGCGTGCTGCGGCGGCAGCCCTGGCGTCACGCTGCGCCCTGCATGCTGCAGGCGGATCGCGAGTCGCTCCGCCCCGTGCGGCGGGAGGCTCGGAAAGGCTCGGGACGGTGATGCCAAGGAGGAGAAGGAGGATGAGGAGGAGGAGGAGGAGGAGGAGGAGGAGGAGGAGGAGGGGGAGAAGGAGGAGGAGGAGGACGCCATGCGAATATTCGCATCAGCAAGAACACGGCTCTTGACGAGATCACTCGCTTTGCGCAAAGCCCAATTCCTGTATCATTGACCCGACGTGGCCGGCTTGACGCGCAAGTTGTCTCTGCCGTGTCGCGCCGAAGCGTGGTGGGCCAGAGCTGTCAGAGCGACACGCTGAGCCAAAGTCCAGACCGTAATACACCTTATAGAGGTCTCCTAGATGGGGTCCCAGTAGAGGGGTTCGGAGGATCACGCCAGATCGCCGATCCACACCGATGCATCGGCGATACATCGGCGATGCATCGGCGATGCACCAGTGACGCATCGGCGACGTCTCGGCGACGCCGATGTGAAGCAGATCGGGCTCCACATCGAGCCGATGAGCCGATGCATCGGCGATGCGGCGCGATACTTCGACCCCATCGCCTAGAGCAATCCACCTTGGGGGTCCCCCGCGGCATGGGGACCATGGCGTCCGGGGAGGTGTCATGGCCCCGGCCATGGTGTCCGCACACTCTTCGGCCGTGCGCAGGCGGGCGAATCTTGAGTAGGGAGCGACCGCCCCAGCATTCCTATAGGCCTGCCAGGACATTTTGCTGGAACTCCAAACTGTTCTAAGGACAAAATTGGACACAATTAATGCAGTAGAACATAAATCCGAGGTGTTAGAACAAGGCAAGCTCGCCCAGACATGTCCTAATTAAGAGCATGTCGTGCAGACCACAAAAGGTTCCCAGAAGATTCTTGAGCGGGCCTAGATGGCAAGCCAGACGCTTCGCCACTGCTCGAGCATCGCGACGCCACGTTCAAAGAAGTGGCCGACGCGCGCGCCGTGGCTGGCCCCTCACTGGGCATGGGCAAGACGGCGGTCGGACCAGCGGGAGACGTGGCGGCGGGCAAGGACCCGAGCAAGATGCCCACCAGAATTGGGCGGGAGAGTAACGTCCGAGGCAGAAGCCAAGGCAAAGCGGGGGGGATGCCTCGAGCTGGTGGTAATGGGGGGTGACCACTTGGGGGTGAAGAAAAAACCCAAAGGGGCCCCTTTCTTCACCCCAAACATAGGTCACCCCTAGTATCACCCGCACGAATGTCCACACACACAAACACACACACACACCCACACACACACACACTCCAAGGCATCTGGTATCTTGATTTTTCCGTAACAAGGTTTTCGAAGGCCCCGACCCTTTCCCCATGTCAGGCTTCTCGTCCCAGGTCTTCTCGTTGACGGCCCCCGGGCCCGGCGAGGGCCCCCAGAGGCCGCAAACTATGAAACATGTCCGTCCTGTTTTCTCAAATATTGGACGTAATGGAGTCCTTGGAGACAAACAATTGGCCTGGCGAAGAAACCAACAATAGGCAGTTGAGACTACCGCAGTTGTGGGTATTGTCCTACGTGGAGCCCCTTATGGGCCACGAAACGCTGTACTGGGTGCACCTTCGGTGGAGCTCCCTATGGGGCCACGAAACGTTGTCCAGGGTAGGGGGAGAAGCATGCGAACTGCGCCGCTGGAACCTTCGGTGGAGCTCCCTCTGGGGCCACGAAATGCTGCACTGGGTGGGGAAGGCGCATGGGAACTGCGCCACTGGGACCTTAGGTGGAGCTCCCTATGGGGCAACGAAACGCAGTGCTGGGCGATGATGATGATGACGACATCGACGAGGACATGCGGAGGACACAGGCAAGGAGGAGAGGAGAGGAGGAGGAGAGGAACGCGGGGAGTGTTTCTTCAAAACGAGGACCCAACAACAAGTTGGTTGGGAAACGCACCGCCCTCCGTAACGAGCGCCCAGCTCTCCTGAATCGCGGGGCGGCAATGCCCGCCCCCTCCAGGGCGCTCCATCGCGCAACCCCTCGGTCGGAGGCAGTGGGTAGAAACAGTAGGTGGCGACATCCGAACTCTACCCCCACCGAGCATCGACCCCCCTGAGTCGATGGGAGGCGGGGGTACCGAGCATCGACCCTGAATCGATGGGAGGCGGGGGCAGGGTTCGGATTTCGCTACGTGTTCGACGAATCGCGTGAGCCATCGGTCGGAGGCAGCGGGCAGAAACATCAGGTGGCGACATCCGATCGCCACCACTGCCGAGCATCCACCCTCCGGAATCGAGAGGAGCAGAGGAGTTGGAGGTAGGGTTCGGACTTCGCTGCGTGCTCGACGAATTCCGAACCAACCTACCCCTGCCGCCCATCGTTACCAGCCTGGAACATATCCTTATCCCTATGCTGGGCATCTCCTCATGACGATGCCAGTCTTGGGGATTCCCTCATTTATTTTTTGAGGGCGCATCCCTGAGATTGTCATCGCCTTCTGGCTTGTCAATCTTAGGGATAGGGATAAGTTCGAGGCTGGTAACATCGAGCGTGTTCGACGAATCCCGAACCCCCGTGCCCCTGCGGCCCATCGAGCTGCCAGAATCGCTGATCGGCGAGGGTGGAGCTCGGTTTTTTCGCCGCGGGGACACGAAGAGGGAAGCGCTGGAAGTGGGTTGGACCTCCGCCCCCTCCCGGAAGACGAAGGAAGTGGGAGCTTAGCGGGCCCTGGAAACGACAGGTCCGTTTTTTTTACCGGTTCCGTGTTGCCGTTTTTGTTACCGGTTCCGACGCCGTTGTTTTACCGGTTCCGTCGCCGTGTTTTGACCGGTTCCGGCTCCGGTTCCAATCCCGGAGCAGTTTTTTTGCCGTTTCCGGTGGCCGTTTTTTTACCGTTTCCATTTTCATTGGGAGATTTTTGGAGATACGATGAAAAAACCGGCCCTGCCGTTTCCGGGGCCCACAAAGAGTGGGAGCACCACTCGACCCTTGACGTAGGAGGGCGCCTAAAGTTAAAGTAGATTGTGACATGGAAATCTCCCCCAAACAACACCTACTTACAAAACAACCAGTGGGTAGGGGTGGCGAAGTGTTGCTGGCCTCCGAGGGCCTCGATCTCCCTCTTGGCGGAGATGGCCTCCTGCGCGCCCCGTTCGGACTGCTCCGACTTCTCGAGCTCCATCTGCAGCCGCGCGCACAGCTCGTCGCTTCTCGTCCTCTCGAGCTGCAGCTGGTTCTCGATCGCCTCCTGTGATTGGGAGGGGCGGCGTGATCGGGAAGCAGCTCGTGGGAGGTCTTGGGGGACATTTAGCTGCTAGGTCCCGTATAGAGGTGCCACGAAGCCAGATTAGGCCAGATTGGGCCCAAGATTGAGTCAGATTGCACGGTGTTCAGCCGCCCGATCATGCAGAAGCAGTCCAGTCCGACCGCTGATATACGGTGAGGTCATTGGATAAGGAACCATTTGATGATACGAGTCCCAGGGTCTTGAAGCTGGTGGAACTCCAATCGTGGATTGGTCATGGATGAGCCTCCTGGGCACATTCCTCAACCAACGCCCCAGCCGTACCAGGGCCGATTCTGTGTCGACTCCCCAGGAGCTGCATCCCAAACGAGACGAGACGAGACGAGCGCCAGAGTCGTGCGCGCTCCGCCAGGGAGCCCACCCGTGCCGAGCAGAGCATGGCGCGGGTGCCGGTGCCCCCGCAACACCGGGCTGAGAGTCTCGCCAGCCCTCTGGGCGGAGAGGGTCTGGAGCACTTCTTCTTCCAACTCTTCCAACTCCAACCGCCCTCCCCAGACATGCGACGTCCTGATTTTTTCAGGACGGCGTCCCTGGAAGTCCCGACCCGACCCGTTCCCCGGGACCGGTTCTGCATCCAGAATCGTTTTTTGACGCTCCCGAGGCCTGGCGAGGGCCCCCCGAGGCCGAAAATGGACGAAAACCTGCCGTCCTTCTTTTTTACGACGCGATCATGTCTGGGTCTTCTCCTGCGAGGAGGGGCTTGGCACTGCCTCTTACGAACACGCGGTTTAATCGTATTGCCCCCTCCATCCGCCCTCTTCTCCTGCTAGGAGGGGCTTGGCGCTACCTCCTACGAACACGCGGCTTCATCGCACTGCCCCGCCTACGCAGGCCCTCCATTCCCGCGAAAGTGCGCGCCGCGGCAGAACACTGGACCATGCGTGGGCGCCCCGCGATCCTTTTGCGCTGTTGATGGGCCTGTTTCCCACCACCACCACCACCACCACAAGCTGGGTGGGGGAAGGAGATGGAGGAGGAGGAGGAGGAGGAGGAGGAAGGAGAGGGGGAGGAGGACCCCCTCCCCGCTCCAACGTATGGTGGTGGTGGTGGAAAACAAGCCCATCAATGGTTCTTTTTCACGGATGGGTCGCGCACCACACACCGTGCTGGCCACCCCGCCGCCACTTCGCACCGGCGTTTGCCAAGGGCGGTGGTGTTGGAGGCTAGGAAATGAGCACCAACACCAAAACAAAGGGTTGCCTCCAACGGGGCGAGATGATGCTAGTTTTTGTTGTTGGTGGTAATCTGTCGGACGCCCAGGAAGCCCGAATATTACCACCCTCACCGAGGTTGGGATCATGTACCCTCGGTGGAGGCACGCCGCCGACATTGCTGTTGGTGACAAGTTCTAGGCCTCCGATGGAAGCGGGGGAGGAGGAGGAGGAGGAGGAGGAGGAGGAGGAGGAGGAGGAGGAGGAGGGAGAGGAGGGAGGAGGGAGGAGGGAGGAGGGAGGAGGGAGGGAGGAGGGGGAGGCCCCCGCCGAGGTCACTCCAGCCAAGGGCTATTCTCTTGCGTGCACCCGAGCGGGGAAGTCGGCGCGTTCCCCGTTGCGTGCCGCCACGCGCGCTGGCGCGCCTGGCCCACCCTGCGCGCGCCGCGCACGTGGCGTACCCGGCGCGGGCAGAGCACGCGGCACCACTTGGTGAGCGTGGCTGCCGCGGCGCATCGGCCGCGCCAGCCCGCCTGGCCCACTTTTTGGCGGCGCGCTTTGGAGTCCCGAAACGGTGCGGTGACAGACCGTGCGGTGGCCTCGAAATCCCCCAAGACCTCACCGCACGGTCCGTCACCGCACGGTCTTGGGACCCCCGAGGCCCCTGTTGCCCGAGACATCCTCGGAGAACGACCCAAGTCCCAAAACCGTGCGGTGACCCCGAATCCCCACCGACTCACCGCACGGTGTGGTCACCACACCGTTTGGGGGCCCCCGACGCGCACAAGGGGGTGGAGGGAGGGGGGAGGGGTTTTCAGAAGGAGGGGTTTTCAGAAGGAGGCTGCTGCTTAGAAGGCGCCAGCCTTACATCTATAGAGAAGGCCCGCGCCCTCTAAGAAGCAGGGGTGCTTCTGAGAAGCCCTCCCCCTCCCCCCTCCCCCCTCTGCGCGTGGCTGACACTTGGGCCCCAGGGCCCCCGACGCACCTGGTGCGTGCGGTGCACCTGGCGCGCGCGCGGCGCAGCCTGCGAGCGTCTCGCAACTGGCGTACCGTGCCGGATCCTGATGGACCAGGGTGGCCTCCAGGATGCCTCCACGAGGCTCCAAGACCGCCTCGAGACGGCTCCAGGTGGCCACGGAGGCTCCCAAGGATGCCCCCAGGAGGCCGAGACCCTTCCAACACCTCAAGAAAACACATGACTTGTGCTTTCTCTCCGTTCCGCTTCCAATGGGCTGCTGAGGCCTAATCCGAGGCATCCCAAGAGGAGCCCAGATAGGGGGCCCAGGATAGCTCCAAGGCAGCCTCAAGAGCGCCCAAGAACGCTCGAAGAGCGTCCTAAGGGGCCCATGAGACAACTTCCGGGCTCACGCGGGGCGACCCTAATCCGCGCCGCCCCCTTTGTTGATCGATGGCCTCCGAGATGGCCCGAATAGCACGGAAGAAAGCCCCAAGATCCCCACCACAGGAACCAAAGGCCATCACAATGGCCCGAAAAGGGCTCCAGCATGGCTCCAAGAGACCTCCAGAGGCTCCTCAAGCGAAAGATCCACAAAGGCGTGTATGGTTGAATCGTGGTCGTCGTCGGCAGCGCCTCCTTCCACTCCAGCCTTCTCATCCTCCTCTGTATTCCACCATCCTACTCCTCCACCTCCTTCCGCATCATCCTCCTTCTCCTCTTCTTAATCCCACAAATACCCCTCCACCAACTCACCCTCATCTCTCTTACATTCATGCGGCCTAGGGATCGCTTTGAATTGAGAGGGAACGTGCTACGTCAAACTCGTTGTCCTTCTGCTCTTGTTCCTCCTCCTCCTCCTCCTCCTCCACCTCCTCCTCCTACTCCACTCCTCATCGTCATTCCAAATCCTCACCCTACTCCTTCTCATCATCTTGGTCCTCCTCCTCCTCCTCCTCCTCCTCTTGATCCCCCTCCTCCTCGTCCTCTTCGTCCTTGCAGCTCCTCCTCCTCCTCCTCCTCCTCCTCCTTCTCCTCCTCCTCCTACGTCATCATCCGCCTCCTCCTACTCCTCATGTTTCCAGGGCCGCGAAGGCATGTGGTTCACTGCTAGGTCTGGTGAGGCTGATCCAAAACTTCGGACTGACGGCTGCCACCCTCTTTGATCCAGTGCAAGCTGCTACGCTTCCCTGATCAATGCTATTCACCTGGGCATCGCTTCTGGATGGGCTGGAGGCTGGAGGCATCACCCAAAGCGTCTAGAAGTTAGCCAACAGGCTGGCTGGGCGCTGACAAGGCGAGGTCGTGGAGAATGAGCACGGATTGAGGGCGGGAGTCTGGAAATGGGCGCGGGTGTGGGAAAGATGGACGCGGGTGTTGGAACCAGAGCTGTAATCGGAAGGCTGAAGCCAGGAACTAGAAAGATGGGAGCGTGGAGGTGTAGCGAGAATGGTGCAGTCAGAACTCCGCCATGAGGAGCGTCAGATGAGAAACGGAGCCACTTCGGAGCATCGGTTGCGCCAAGTCCCACGGACGAACATGAGGAGCATCGAGCCCCCTTCGAAGCCAAAGCGGGCCTCGCCTGAAAATTCTGACTGGAGAGACCCAAACCGGCAGGCGTCGCGCGCAGAAACACGACGGGTTTTGTGGTCAACCGTCGTCGGCATCTGGGGGCCCTTGCCGCGGGTCCCATGGCTGCCTGGAGACGGCTCAGGACGGCAAGCTTCCTCCAGGGGAAGGTCTTCCTCCTCCTCCTCCTCCTCCTCCTCCTCCTCCTCCTCCTTCCGCAGCCATTTTGGCTCAAGCGATCGCACTGGCCGTGGCCGTCCGCCCGCGCGGGATGGCACGGCCTAGAGGGACCCCGACGGCTGCGGAGGACGGCGTCGCCTTGCTGGCGGCCGCCGTGACCGCGGCCGTGGAGGCCAAGGCGCCGCGGCGCACGGTGGCTGCGGTGGCGGGTGCTGTTGCGGCGGTCGCGCTTCGGGCGCGGACCGCGCCGACGGCGCCGCAGCCCGTCCCCCGCGCCGAGAGTGCCGAGCAGGCTGACGCACCCCAGCGTGCCAGTTCGGCCGCCAAGGCGGAGAGCCGCCGCCGCCGCCGCCGCCGCCGACAGCGCCTCTCGGCGCGGCGGGCGGAGGCGCGAGGCGCGGAACCTGGTGCTGCTGAAGCTGGTCGCCCTGGAGTGGGCGCAGCTCCCCCCCTCGCCGTGGAGGTGGACACGACGGCGGCCGCTGGCGGCGCGCGCGCGGGCCTTGGGCTCGTGCTGGCGCCTGGGGCGGCGCTTCGGGCCCCCTCCGACGGCGACGGCGAGATGGACGAGGACCTGATCGACGATGCGTGGGCTGACGGTGGGCGGCCTGCCGTGGCGGTCGGGCTCCCTCGTGGCAGCGAGTGGGCCGACGCTGCGCTGGCGCCTGTGGCGGCGGCGGACCCCTCGGAGGCGGAGCTGGTGGAGGCCCGCGGGCGCTTCACGGAGCTCTCCCGCCGCCTCGGCTTTTCGGAGGCGGTGGCGGCGCCGCAGGACCCCGCGGAGCTGCTGGAGTTCGTTGCGGACGTCTCCCGCCTCGCGGTGGCGTGGGAGGGCATCGACGGCGAGCCGCCACGCGCCGCCGGCCGTCGCTCCCGGGCGGCGCGGGGGGGCGGCCGCGAGAGGCGGTAGGGGCCCTGGGCCGCGCACGGCTCGGGCGCCGCCTCCCCAACCCACCGCGCAACGTCGTGTTCCTCGGTGTGTACTCCATGTACTTGCTCTTCTGAGGCCGAGGGTGCCGTGCCTGTGCACGGCGGGCGGTGGCGGCCTGCACGACTGGCCGACTCCAGGTCGTGGGCATCATCCTCCTCCTCTTCCTCCTCCTCCTCCTCCTCTTCCTCCTCCTCCTCCTCTTCCTCCTCCTCCTCCTCCTCCTCTTCTTCTTATTATTATTCTTCTTATTCGTCTTATTACTATTATTATTCTTCTTCTTATTATTCTTATTATTATTCTTATTATTATTATTATTCTTATTCTTCTTCTCCTTATTATTACTATTATTAGTCTTATTCTTCTTCTTCTTCGTCTTCTTCTTATTCTTATTATTATTAGTATTATTTTTCTTATTCTTCTTCTTATTATTCGTATTCGTCTTCGTCTTCTTATTATTATTATTATTATGCTTATGCTTCTGCTTATGCTTCTGCTTCTTCTTCTTCTTATTCTTATTCTTCTTCTTCTTCTTCTTCTGCTTCTTCTTCTTCTTCTGCTTCTGCTTCTGCTTCTTCTTCTTCCTCCTCCTCCTCCTCCTCCTCCTCCTCCTCTTCCTCCTCCTCCTCCTCCTCCTCCTCCTCCTCCTCCTCCTCCTCCTCCTCCTCCTCCTCCTCCTCCTCCTCCTCCTCCCCCCCTCCTCCTTTTCCTTTTCCTTTTCCTCCTCCTCCTCCTCCTCCTCCTCCTCTGGTCGAGAGGTCTAGAGTCCCCGAAGGTTGCACCCCACACGGCGCCTTCTCCGCGGTCAGTTTCTGGATCACGTCGGCCCTGGACTCCTCATTTCTCCTCGCCTGCGTCTTCACCAGCTTGCACCGGGCGGCAAATTCGAGCGTGCTTATGGTCTCCGCAAGGTTGTACCTGCTGCGCAAGGAGGGGTAGGCGGAATGAGGGACTCCCTCCTCCTCCTGCTCCTCCTCCTCCTTCTCCTATCCCTCCTCCTCCTCCTCCCCCTCCTCCTCCTCCACCTCCTTCTACACCACTGTTCCTTCCAAATGGTTCCTACGTGTCGCTCCCCCCAAGCGTGACGGTAGTGCGTGCCGGGCGTTTCGCCTGGCACTTCCTCATTAATTAAGACCATGAAGCTCGAACTTTGCAACAGTTACACGGATGGAAGAAGGGTGGTTGTCAACATTGGGCCCTGGCTTCAGCGTCGCACACGTTGGTCTTATGTGTGCGACAGCTTCAAGGATGGAGGGGGAACTCATATTCACAAGATGGGGCTCTCGCCTTAGCGCCCCGCTCCTTCGCCCCAAAGGTTTGCGACAACTCCGGGGATGGAGCACATGGCGTTTTCAAAATGCGACCCTCGCCTTAGCACCGCGCGCATCCGTCTGAAATCTCGCAGCAACTACAGTGGTTCAGAGGGGCTCTTTTTCGAAATGGGGCTCTCGCCTCAACGCCGCGCGCCTTCGTCCCAAACGCCTGCAACAGATTCAGAGATGGATGCGATCGTTTCAAACGTGGATCTTTCGCATTAGCGCCGCGCGCACCAGTCTACAGGCAACAGTCACACGGATGGAGAACGATTCCTTTTCAAAGTGGGGCTTTCGCATGAGATAGCTGCACGGTCGAGGGGCGCTTCCTTTTCAAAACGCGGTTGTTGCTTGAGACTGCTTCGATGTCCGCGACCAGAAGTGTCGTGTGTGGGGGGGGGGGGGGGGGGGGGGGGGGGGGGGGGGGGCGTTCCCTTTTTCGAACCGTGGGTTTTGCTGGAAACCTGGCTGATCTGCATGATCCTGCATTTTCGCAATGCTTACTTGCGGGCAAAACCTGTGTCCATATCCACTGCAGCTTGGGGGTTCGGGCTCCCTTCCCCAGAAAACCGAGGAGCACTGGATATGGACAAAAATCAGGCCCCTACTAGAGGCTCGAACTTCATCCATATCCAGGGCGCCTCGGCCTTGCGGCGCCCCTTCCACGAAAGTCCACGACGCCCTCTACATGGATATACGTATTGTCCGCGTTACTATCCCCCTTCAGAGGATGAGAGCCGCATCAGTTTCCAGACGGCGGGGCGCCCATCGCTCTTTAAGCAGAGACCCGTGGGGATTTGCATATGAGGAGGAGAGGAGGAGGAGGAGGAGGAGGAGGAGGAGGAGGAGGAGGAGGAGGAGGACGAGGAGCGCACTCACCAAAAGAGACGGGAAGAGGGCAAGCGGACACGAAGCGAGAGGAGGGCAAAGAGTCAAGTCTCACACCCCTGAGGCGCCTGTCCTGCCAGTGCAGCTAGCCCGGGTTGCCGAGCGATGATCTGGCGGACGCGCGCCTGACCTATCTCGGACAGTCGACCCCCACGATTCCGATGGGTATGGTAGGCGTGGAAACACATATCAAAGAAGAGGAACATGGCGACCAAAGCTTCGTTTGACATTGGGAAGAATCGAAACACACGGATGCGAGAGAGACCGCCGGCGAGACAAAAGGCGGCGGGAAGAGAGGGCAGGAAAGTCCCGAGATGATCGAAATGCGGGCATTCGACAATGTGGCGGCGCGTACCACCACCAGGAAGGGAACACAACGGGCAAGACTTCGTCTGCTGCCGAAACCGCCCCGTCGTGCACCAGGGATTGCAAACGGTTTTGAAAAACGAAGAGAGGACGGAAGGAGGAACGAGCGGGGAGGCCCTCTGGAAGGCCGTCAAAACCAAACCAACAGCAGGGCAGGACAAATCAGGGCAGTGTTTCCGCAGGCGAGAGGCGATGGTGGGCATCACGGGTCGAGGAAACAGGCGCCGAAGTACCGATTCAGTGCGTCTCTGGAGAGGGGTCACATCGGGGATCACGCCAGGAATGTGAGACATGTTTTCGCAGTTGCGAAGCATGCCTCCCAGAATGCTCTCCTTCCACCAGGGATGCTCGCGCCACAAAATAACGCAGTCATCATCATCGTCAAACTCAGCGAGCGCCTCAGTCAACGGCAAGAAGGACGGCGAATAACATACGGCGCGGTATCTTGCAGCCTGACTGGCGAGCCCAATGGACTTCGCATCGAGCGGGAATCCAATTGCCGTCAACCCCGGCAGCATTTGGGCCGTGATGGCGTCGTTGGGCCCAGCGGTCAGCCTTTGGAGGCCTGGGCGTTCTGCTTCCAGCACCGCGGATGTCGGGCTCAGAAACTGCCCGAGGAAAGTAAGCACCGAGAAACACAACATGTTGTAATGCCTTGCGGATTTGGCCAGACCGAGTTCCAACCCATGGACCATCTGGACACGGCGGAAATACTTCATGACAGCAGGAGCCCAAGACGCTTCGGAACTGTCAGTTCCAAGATGCACCCCAAGATAGCGCCCATGAGGACGGAATTGAAGTCCTTCGCACTGGAGCCCTCGAGCAACTACCGCTGCGCGAAAACCTGCCCCCGACGTCCCCAGAAGAACGATCATAGTTTTGGCCGCGTTGATGTAAAGGCCAAGCCCAGGGCCCGCGAGGGCCCAAACAGACATGCTTTGGACGAAGGCTTCCACCACATCTCCAGAGCTGATGCCGACATCGTCAGCGAAGGCCCCCATGCTGCTGAGGGGCCGTGGGGTCAGGAGGCAGATCTTACGCGGCACGGGATCGATGGCCAGCGCGAACAGAGATCCACTGGCAGGGCAACCTTGTTTGATGCCGCGCTGTAGCCAATGCCCCACATCAACGTGGTGGCCACGGTAGACAATGGATGCCCACGCGTTCGCGCACAGGCTCTGCACCGCCCGCGCGAAAAACTCTGGCGCGCCCGTCTTGCGCAACGCGCAGCAGATGGCACTATGGAGGAGGCTGGGGGAGGCTGCGCGCACATCATACATGATGATCCCCGTAGTGAGATAGTTCCTCTGCATAAACCAGTGCAACGCCCGAAACTCCAACTCGAAAATGTTTTCATTCATGTTCCGCCCTGCGACGAGTCCCCGTTGTTCCGATATGCACGTGCAACGGCATGCGCACGCGAGCGGACGATTCACGGCGAGCGAGACAATCTTGCTGGCAGCGCACGACATCGTGAGCGGGCGAGTGGCGGACGGGGCACGCATGCACATGTGCTGGTCATTGGCGTCCTCCCCCTTTGCTAGGAAGACTGCGTGGCCGAAATTGAACTCAGGGTGGAGCTCGCCCGTGCCGAGCAGATGTACATATAAGTTATACAGAGCTTGCATTCCGATCTCCCCCGGCCTCGCCCATCCGGAGTAAGGAATGCCGTCGGGCCCCGGAGCGCTATCATGGGTGTTCTTGATCACCTCGAAAAATTCCTCCTCCTCCAATCGCCATAAGACAATGCCTGGAACCTCCTGCGTGTGTATGTTCAACTCGCCAAAGGCGCTAGCATCTATCTCGGCAAAGCTGTGCACCTCCCCCAAATGTCTAGCTAGTTCGCGAGCTCCAGCTCGCGGGTCGAAGATGGGCTCTCCAAGCGGGTCGGCAATCGCCTGGAGCGAAACTGCAGCGCCACGAGCAAGCCAGGCAGTGCGGTGCGTGGAAAGCATCGTCGTGATGGATTTACGTTTGCTGGGATGCACCTCGTCGTCATTGCGTATCTCGTCAAGGTGCTCATCAATCTGCTGCCTCTGCAAGCCTGCAAGGAACGCATGGAAGCCCGCAAAGTTGGAGTAAGCGCAGGCCGTGCCATCGAAATACTGGGCAAGCCTCGGGCACGCGTCCAAGGCACGCCGTAACACACCTGGCCCCTGGGCCCTAACATCACGCGTAGCTGCGAGAGCCCAGGAAATATATTCGGGCAGACTCTGGGCACCACACAGTTCCAGGCGAGCTAACACAGCTTTCGCGGCAACCTTGATCGCCCCCCTAACTTCTTCAACACGGGCACTCGGATCAGGAGACGGCTCCCCAGCGCCATTCAGGATGTCCTGGAAAACGGCAGGGAAAAAGGGGATGTTTCGCGACCCAGGATTGAACGCGGATGCGCCCCGAGCGCCCAGCGGGTGCAAGTGAGAGGAACACGGGCACGTGGTCTGACAGCTGGCCAGCGTCGGCAGCGCACCCAATCGTGCCAGAAGATGGAGACATTTCCAGCAATAACACCGTCGGGATCGTGGAGTAGATCCTGTCGAGTCGGCCCAAGGATTCCACAGCTTTCTTGCCATCAACGCAACCCTCGACCCGATGCGAGAAGTTGGGCTGCTCAACCTCAGTCAAAAACGGAAGCGGCTGAACAAGGAACTTCCCCAGACTCACGCGCGGCACCACGACCCTCCCAGCGTTTTGACAGCTGCCTCCCCCGCAAGCTGGGAAGTCGAAGTCGCCACAGACTACGGCTGTGCACTGGGCCCGAGCCTGCAAAGAGCGCCGGGCGTCTTCAAAATGACACTTACGTGCGCGAACAGAAAGCCCTGGATCACTGTGTACGTTGATGATGTGTATGACATGCGAGCTATTGTAGAGAATGAGAGAATGTATACGACCATGTGCAATAACAGCGCGGTGAGCGTGCTCCAAAATTTGGCGAAGACGAGGATGACCGTATATGAGACTACCTCCTGCATGCATAACCAGACAGGAGATGGACTTCGCGCTCTAACGCTCGAGAACTCCCATATGTACCAGGGGCTTCCTGAATACAGACGATGTCATGTTTCTGGGTAAGCTGCAGGAGACGGCTGATTTTAGCACGGTGAGTGCGCCGCGGTACATACTGAGCCCCGAAGAGAGAACGTGCATTCCAAGAGACTATCAAGAATCGCTGCGTGGGCAAAAACGGAGTGCAGGTGGAAAGTAATTCGTCCCATCGGACAATCGAAGAAAAGGAAGAGGATGACGATGCAGTGGATCGGCAGGAACTGGCGGAAGACGAGGAGGAAGAGCAAGAAGCAGACCGCGTGGGCGAGGAAGAAGCAGGGCGCTTCACAGAGGCCCGAGTACGCCGAGAGCGCTTCGAGGGGGGAAAGCATGGACGATCGCCTCCAGCGGCCGCACGAAGTAGCTGAACAGCTAATCGAGCACCCACGCCACTGGCAGCACCCACATCGTCACTGTCACTCTCACGAGCTGTGTCGCAAAGTGCGAGGTGTCCGTTTGGTGATGGCTGGGATGGCAAGGCAGCCTCCTATAGGAGGATACTGTCCACAGTCTCTTGGATCTGCTGGTCAGTAAACCCAAACTTCTTGAGCGCGTCATTGTTCGGCTCGACGTCGAGCTGAGGTGTGTCCAATCCCGAGACCTTGAAGAGCTGCTCGGGTTCCTCATTGACGATGAGCCAAAGGACGCCCCGATGTGGTTGAGAGCCGAGCTGCGTTCCCTGCGTCCACTTATTGGTACTTTTCGCAACATCGTTGACCTTGGTCCACAGGATCCCGAGCAAGCGGCTAATCTTCCTGATGGCAGGAGGAGCATCCTGGCGTACTTTCAACTGGATCTCCGCACGCGACTTCGGGTCAGCCCACGAGACGCCGAGGGTGCGAGCACGAGTAATGAAGTCCCGCGCAGCCTCGCTGGTAGCAAACAAGATGCTGTAGGCAGTCTGAAAGTTATGCACTTTGATCGCGGCAGGGGTTCCGTGCTGCACGGGACGCTCGACTAAGGCTACCGCGTGGGCAGTGAGCACACGGGCTAGAAGCGGACGGGGGAAGCCAGCAATCCAGACCTTGCGATTGTCACTCGCGGGTGAGGCAACAAAAGAACTCGAGCCAGTTCCTGAAGCCGCGGAGGAACTCGCCGCCGTCGTGGTACGGGAGCGAAGCTGGGTGATCTCCTTCTCAGTGCGAGCAGCCTGGTCCTTTACTTCTTTGATCTGAGCGGCAACTCGAGCATCGAGTTCATCTCGCAAGGCAGCTGTCGCAATCGCCGTGCTCTGCTGTGTGCGAGCCTCCAGATCAGCCATTCTCGAGTTAAGCACGGCAATCTTCGAGGAGTGGGTGAGAAGCGTGTTCTTGACCTCGGTGACATCGTCTCGGGTCGCCATGCTCGTTCGGATCTCCCCCAGACACATCATGTCTGTGTCTAAGCCGCCGATCCTTGGTTGCTTGGTAGCGGAGCCTTCCTCGGGCGAAGCAGCAGATCCATCCACATCCATCCCCGCGGTGGTGGACATCTGCAGCGGGAAAGCCGAGAGAGTGGCCAGCCTGGTGGGGCTGCTGGCAGACTCCGAAAGCGCTGGCAGACTCCGAAAGGGTGGGAGTCTGCAGAGAGGCCCTGTGCCTTGAGCCAAGATGGCTTGAGCCAAAATGGCTTGAGCCAAAATGGCTACGGACATATGAGGAGGAGGAGGAGGAGGAGGAGGAGGAGGAGAAGGAGGAGGAGGAGGAGGAGGAGCGAACGTCCGATAGGAGGAAGAGGAAAGGAAGGACGAGGAGGAGGAGGAGGAGGAGGAGAAGGAGGAGGAGGAGGAGGGGGACCGGAGGGTGTACGGCAGCATCGTTGATGCCGCTTGGGTCTGCGCTTGTTCTTATCCTCCTCCTCCTCCTCGGAGCTCGGTGCTGCGAGTATGGGACTTGTGCCAAAGCGTTGGCCTGCTACCCCCTCCCCCCGCTGGGGGGCGGAGAGACCACAGGAGAAGCACATCAGTCACAGCGCGCTGACAGGTGGGGGGTGAGAGGAGAACGACAACACGAAGGGACGGCGGGGAGACCTGCGACCCAATCTCATATTGGAGAAGGGGGGGAGGAGGGAAGGCTGTGTGGAGGGAGGGGGGCGAAAAACTATGTAGTGATGCAGCGCTGGGCGGGTCAAGGTGGTCCTCGGCCGGCCTGGGCCCCCAAAGAGGCCCCACCCCCGTGTGGGGCGGCGGGGGCCAGGCGGCAGGGCGAGTCAGCAACACGGGAGCAGAACGGCGAGAGGGGCTGGAAGGGGCGGCCGAGGAGAGGGCAGAGGTGGCGGGCGGGCGGGCGGCTGGTGCTGGGCGGAGTGGCAGCGCGTGAGCGGCTGGGCGGTCAACATACCCGTCCAGCAAGAGCAGGGAAGGTGAAGGTTAGGATGGGGGTTCTGGCAAACTGTCTCACCATTTGTCCTCGAAGTAAGGGCGTTGGTTTAGGGGCTGATGTGCGTTGCAGCTGACGTCGTGTACCGCCAGATAGCGATCCGCATCTAGCAATCGCTGGGAACACACTCCATTGCCCATCCCATAGCAAACGGTGGTAACTGAGGTGCTCGTCCGCCCTGCGGGTGCCGTCTAAGCCATCGAACCCCTCCGCAGACGTGTTGGTAAAGAGTAGGTGCGACCCCGGCCCGGGTGCATGCAGTCTTGCAGCCTGGGCTAAGTAGGAGTAGAGGGAGCTGTGGAGCCAAACTGGTAGACATTGACGCAAGTATGAGTGCATGGCTCCCGCTTAGGGTAGCACCCGCCGTGCCTCATCCTGCTCCTCCCTCTCCTCCTTCTCCTCCTCCTCCTCCTCCTGCTCCTCCTCCTGCTCCTCCTCTGCTCATCGTCATCCCCTCCTCAACAAATCAGTCCTGCTCATCTCGAAGGATGCGTTAGGCGAAAAACTTGCACACGGCATCCACCCGCAGCCACGAGAATTTAACCCAAGGCCCAAGCGTAGCCAAAGACACCCTCCTCTCGCCTCCTCATTGCTAGAAACCTCCTAGATGGGGTTCGAGTAGCTGGAGCCAGAGAGGAATGCACCGCATCGCCAATGCATCGGCGATACATCAGCGACGCATCGACGACGTCAGCGATGCATCGGCGCCATCGGCATGAAGAAAATCGGGCTCCGCATCGAGCCGATTCGCCGATGCATCGGCGATGCGGACCAATCCTTCGACCCCATCTATTCCGACCCCACCTGGGAGGCCTAGAAATCCCCCTCCACCCGTCCCCCTCACCCCCCCTCACCCTGTTCCCCCCGCCCCACCCACCCACATACCCTACTCCTCATCCTGCTCCTCTTCCCTCATACGTACACCAGATCCCTTAATATTCGTTCCCTGGGTCTGGTTGTTTTAAGCGCTTTTTAGGGAGGCAAAGGGGTCCGATTTACTAAGGCATGTCTTGAAGCCGACGTTCAGGGGGGTCCGGTTTATCAAGGCGCTTTTTGCGCATGCAATGTCGCTCAAATTCTTGCGCACGCGGCATGATCGACGCCTGTGCTCGCGACCAGCAGCCAGGGGACTGCTCGTGACCACAAGCCGTCGTTCACTTCAGGATTTCTTTTGTTGTAAGGACAGGATTGTTCACTGGGGTAGAGCCGTTGCCTTCCCATTACGTTCTACGCGACAGAACCCACTGAGGGGTTCGACTAACTTGGAGTTCCTTACACATTCTTGCCTGTTGTGTTGGAGTCGGGCCGTAATCGTCCCTTGGCGTTCTTTGCGCCTCGCCAGTGATGCGGGGTGGCATGGATAGCCCTTGCACCCATCCTGTTGCTCAAGAGTGTGTTCCAACCTCAACGGTCGCAACGCCGTCTACTTCATTGCCGCCGTGATCACCGACATGGCCGCCGTCATGGACGATCGCGCTCGCAATATTGTTGGTTATCGTTTCAAAGGGGCGGAATAATAAGGCGCCCCCTGCGGAGAGGTGGTCCGGCAAATTATGGCGCGAAGGAGGGAGGTCCAATTTTCCAAGGGGGCGGTCGATTGTTCAAGGATCCGGAGTCGCCTCTCCACCTCTCATCCCATCCTCCAGGAACGTCTGAAGAAAGACTATAAACGAGGAGGACAAGGAGGGGGGGGAAAGGAACAGGGAGGGCGAGGGAGGGGGACTCCTCCTCCCCCCCTTCTCTCATTCCCTCGCTCTCTGCTCCCCCCCCCCTCCCCTCCCTCGCTCACTCCTTCGCTCTCCCTGGCGCGCGGAGCGCCGAGTGGCGCCGCCAGGCGCCAGGCGGGAGCCCAGCGCAGATCCAACAAATCCGTGCGGACCGCTCGAAAGATTATTCTCCAGGAGCTGCTTTATGGGATCCTCTTCAGAAACGGTCCCCAGACCCCTCCCAGGGCTAATCAATTCCCGAGATGGATCCAGCCGCGGCGACGAAAAGCCTCCAGGAGGCGCCAAATGACGGTCCCTCCTCCCTCCTCCCTCCTCCCTGCTCTCCTGCCTCCTCCTCCTCCCCCTCCTCCCCCTCCTTCTCCTCCTCCCAAAACTCCTCTTCCTCCTCATCCATCTCCTCCTCTTCTTCTTTTTGGCTTATCATTCGTATTACTATTATTCTTTTTATGGTTATCATCATCAGTATTCTGACTGTGACTACTACCCTGACTATTACTATTACTAGAATTAAACTCATTAGAATGTGTTATTATTGCTAGTATCAGTATGAGTATGATTGTTGTTACTAATCATACGTGATTAGTAATAGTATTAGTATCATTCGTATTCCTCTTCGTATTCCTCCTCCTCCTCCTCATCCTCTTCCCCCCCTCCTCCCCCCCTCCCCACCTCTCATCCTCCTCCTCCTCCTCCTCCTCCTCCTCCTCCTCCTCATCATCCTTCTCCTTCACTTCCCTCCGCGCGGAGGGGTGGGGGGTGGGGGAGGGGCCTGGCGGTGCTGATGCAGGCCAGGAGGGCGGTGCGGCTGTTGCCCATGAGAGCGTCCTCCCCCGCGGGCCCCACTGGGACGCCCCCCGCCGGCTGCACGCAGAAGAGGCCCTGCGGTCGGGCACTCATGCTTCACACGTCGCCGCGGCGGCCCCAGTGACACGCTGTGCCGTGCGGGCGGATGGCGTGTCGCTCCGCGGAGCGGGGGGCTCGGGGAACATCGGGCCTCTGACGCGCCTCGAGGCCTCGAAGTGGACAGCGTGTCGCACCGAGGCGCAGGGGGCCAGAACGGGCGGAACGACGCGCTACCCAAAAGCTCCCGGCCGTAGGCGGGAGTGCCCTTGGGCGCGCGGCCTTGGAGGGCCACTTGTGGGCCAACTCCGAGCGCCCCAGCCTCTTCAGGCCACCGCTGGGGGGAACCCCAGCGGGCCTGCGCCAAAGGTCACTCTGGCGATGGGCCGCTCTCTCGCGCAGCTTACCCTTCCTCCCTGGGGTCGTCGGTCGTCGTCGCCGGCGGCAGAGGGGGGAGGAGGGGGGGAGACCAGAGGGCTGGAACCCCACTATCAGAGTCGAACCTCCATTGTATTGATCAGGAAAGCCTCCAGGATGAAGGGGCAAAGCCTCCAGAATGGAGGTCGGATCTTCGGTTTGGAAGGTCTTTGATCCCCTGACGGTCGTCGGTCGTCATAGTCGCCGGCGGAGGGCAGAGAAGGGGGAAGGGGAGGGAGGGAGCCCCAGTTCGAGACGACTTTGAAACCTTGTAGGGAAGAAGGCTTCAAAAGGCTACTTCCAATCACCACAATCTATTTCTGGGCCACCTACAACAGACAGCACAGATCTCACCGAAAAGTCTGACATTGGGTCCTCTGGGACCTACTCCACAATGCAAGGCAACTGAAGGCAAGTGATGCTGACGCCTTTGAACCACAGGGTACACAAAAGACACCTGCGCGTGGGATTGGGGAGTTTCCAGGGGGAGGAGAAGCGCACAGGTCAGAGAGAAGGAACTGGGACCTCGCTACTACCATCACGCCAGCAGAGGTGTCTCTGGCCTGCGCGGGGTGACCCTCGTGAGCAATAAACCTTTCCATCCTGCGAAGCCCTGCTCTTTCAGCATAGCTCGGTGGCCCGCGCCCCGCATGCGGTGCTCGGCGAGCAGAACCACATCCGTAAAGCCTCGGGGAACCGTCTGGAGGCTTGGCAACCCCACTTAGATATACCAGACACTGCTACCTGGAGGAAGGGAAAACTGGTGGACCTGACACACTTGGGGGTACTCGGCGCCGTCGCCAAGCGCGGGCCTCCCGTGCCAAACTGGCGGTCAATTATGAGGGGCCTACAAGGCGCGCTGGCGGAAACGCTCCTTGGCAGCAGCCTCTGGGTCTGGTGCCAGACCAGGAGGCCTCTCCGGCAGAGCCCCACCAGTGGCGCATTCACCCCCAGGAGCAGCTTGGCCCACGGAGCCTGCTGCCCCTGCTGAAGTACCCTTCTCTTCGCCACGTGGCCCTGAGAGCTTAGACGTCCTGGCCTGCAACACCTTGACCCTATCCGCATACGCTTCATGATGCTGCTTGGCCGTGGAAGCCACTTCCGTGAAAGCAGCCGCGTGGCACTTTTTGATGATGACCCCTTGCGCGTTCCCAAAGGCATGGGATCTGGTACGATCGTCCTCGGCAATCCCGGGTCTGTCCAAACCCAGAAATTCCCCAAGCGCAAGCTGGATGCCACTGCGGCCGTCCTTTGCCAGCAGTTTGTCAAGATGCAGGACACTTTCTTGCTGGGACTTCGGCAGCACCCCGGCGGCCTCGCGCGATGACGCCTCGGCCACTGCAGCCCCCGCCTTCTGCGCAGAAAGAAGGTATTCCTCAACTCGAAGGTCAGCCGCCCGCACCTGGTTCTCAATGCGGTAGCCAGTGTCCAAGGCAGCCTGAAGAGCACGACAGGCCTGGCGTTTGGCGACCTCCGCCGCCTGATACTCTGCCTCTGGTACCTGTGTGGGCCCCGTAGGCTTGACCTCAGACTGACACGGCGCTAGGAGCTGCTTCGATGGCAGACCAGCCGCGATCACCCGCAACTTTGCCACGGTCTCGGGCGGGATGGGTCCTGCAGCAGCTTTCGTGGGGGCTCCTGGTACAGACTGGGAGCCCGGCTTGAGATGTGCTTCGCAGCGCGTGCATTCCAGGCTGGCGGCGCATGATGCGATCCCACGCCCCATCCAGAACACTCCTTGCACCACGACCAAGGTCCCTGCTTCGTGCGACGACCAGCACCAGCACGATTCCAGCCTGCCACACGCTGCCAACGTTTTCTTCGCCGACTGCGGGAGGCTCGGCGAAGCGCGCCCATGGCCTGCGCTGCGTGCCATCGGCGGCTGGCTGCGGCAGCATGGACGAAACGAAGATGTACGAGTGGGGCGAGAGCCCAGCCGGAGAAGCTCCCCACGACAATATCTGGCAGACGCAGCGAAATGCTGCGAGCCGAAAGGGTCGGGGTCGGTGGGCGCCTGAGCCCCAACCAAGCCTACGCTGACGCGGGCTGGAAACGAGAGCGGCCTACCCTGACGCGGGCTGGAAACAAGCACCGCGGATCCTCCCCTCGGGCCCGAAAGGCTTGAGTCGGGATCAAGGACCGAGGAGGAGGAGGAGGAGGAGGAGGAGGAGGAGGAGGAGGAGGAGGACCGAGGGGAGGATCGAGGACCAGGGAGGAGGAGGAGGAGGAGGAGGAGGAGGAGGAGGAGCAGGAAGGAGGAGAGGAGGAGGAGCAGCAGCAGAGGACGAGGGAGGAGAGGATATGATGATGATGAGGAGGAGGAGAGGAGGATAATCAAGAAGACGAAACGGAGGAGGAGGCGGGGAAGCCGAAGAGGAGGCGGAAGGTGGAGGAGGAGGAGGCGGAGGAGGAGAAGAGGAGGAGGAGCGGAGGAAGAGGAGGACCGAGGAGAGGAGGAGGAGGGGAGAGGAGGAGGAGGGAAAGGAGGAGGAGGAGGAGGAGGAGGAGGAGGAGCGAGAGGACAAAGAGGAGGAAGAGGAGGAGGAGGAGGAATGAGGAGGAGCGAGAGGACGAAGAGGAGGAGGAGGAGGCGGAGGAGGAGTAGGAGGCGGAGCAGGAGGAGGAGGAACAAGAGGAGGAAGAGGAGGATTGGGGAGAAAGAGGAGGAGGAGGAGGATCGAGGCTCGAGGGTGAAGGGCGCCGTCCTTCAGCAGCAGGGTCAGCTTGGACTCGCGGAACGGCGGCAGCCCCCTGCCCGTGGACAGGTCGGAGATCACTCGCGACCTCGCGGCTAGGCGAGGACGAGGCCGCGGTCGCCGCCGTCGTCGTCGCTGGAGCGCCTCCCCGAGATGGGCTTGCCGAAAGTTGGGTCGGGCGTGTCCCCCTACAGGCGGAATTTGGACGAAAACTTAAAAATAGTCAAACAATATTCAACCATACTCAAACCTGATCTCAACATCGTCCCCATACATGCTTTAACTATTTCTGAATATCCCCCTGTAGAGGGACAGGTCCGACTTAGGCCTAAAGGTTTCTTTTGTTCCCTACCTAGGCTCTGCCTAGAGGGTTCTTACTCTATTAGCTTAAAGGGGCCGGGCAGTGGGCTTCGCCCAGGGCGGTTCCCCCGGTCCCCGCCCCGCAGTTCCCCCAGTTGCGCCCCCTTACTTTAGCTTTGCGTATCTCATCTTAGCTTAGCTTAGCTTAGCATCATCTTAGCTTCGCTTAGCTGCAGCTTAGCTGTAGCTTAGCTTAGCTTAGCTTATCATGTCATAGCATAGCCCATCAAATCATATCATAGCATAGCGCAGCATAGCATAGCATAGCGTAGTATAGCATAGCAAAGCATAGCATAGCGCAGCATAGCACTGCATATCATAGCATAGCGCATCCTATTATAACAGACTATAGCCCAGCGTAACACAGCGCAGCCTAGCGTAGCATAGCATGGCGCAGCATCTCGCAGCACAGCATAGCATAGCATACCATACCATAGCATAGCATGGTGCAGTATAGCATAGCATAGCATAGCATAACAGCAAAGCAAAGGCACAGCAACAGCAGCAACAGCAAAGCAAATCAAACAACATGCGTGTGTGTGTGCGAAGGCAAAGCAAAAGCAAAGCAAAGCAAAGCAAAAGCAAACACAAGCAAAACAAAGGCAACTACGACGATGAGGAGAAGGAGGAGGACGGCGTTCGTTACTACTGATGCTGCTTTCCTAGAGGCTCCAACTCCTAGGTAGGGTCGCACTGGGGTAATTTTTTACCCCCACGCAAATATGTTGGGTGGTGTGACGTTCTCACCGTTGTGCGAATCGAGACGTCGCTGGGCGAACCAGGAATTTCACACGAGCGGACCTGCGATAGGCAAACTCCTGCATTGCACCCTGGCCTGAAAGAAGAGGTCAACGTGGAGAGGAAGAAGAGGGGGACCATCACCAGGACTGAACGCGAAAACGTCGTGTCAATCTCGGTCACCGTCCGTCTCGGTCAGCGTTGAACCGTGGACCATCCTCGAGAATCGGCCACGGCCGACATGAGCCATGACCAAGATCGGCATCGACAGGATCCCGCGACATCTTGACCATGGTCCCCGTGCTTCTTTCCCTCGGCATCGAGCCGCATGCGAATCTGTCCCGAATGACACGTTTCCTAGAAAGGGACGCCAGCGAGAGGGACTTCTGAAACCGCGGCCTGGTATTCGAGACTCCGAAGAGTGCGAGTGGAAGCGTCGCGCAGAGACCTCATGGGCGATGCCGCGCGGACTTGCGAAATCCGCGTCGCCCGTCTCAAACGTCCCTTTCCCTGGGGTCCCTTTTGGAACCACATGACCGCAGCCCGCCTCGAGGGCCCCTGCCTGCTTTAGCCGGTGGGTGCCCCGCCTGCGCCGGCCGGCGGTCTTCGGGCTGCTCGGTCGGGTTTCGTGGCTGCCCTCCTCGGGCTCCTTCTGGTCTTGTTCAAGCAGTGGCCTCTTGGTCTTGGTCGGGTGCCTCGGGTTCCTCGGTCTTGGTCGGGTTCATTGGTTGTGACTGCCTTCCTCGGGTAGCTTAGCCTTGATCAAGCAATGGCTTCTAGATTGTGGTCGGGTTCCTCGGGTTCCCAGGTCTTGGTCGGGTTCCTTGGTGTTGACTGCCTTGATCGGGTTCCTTGGTCTTGGTTGCGTGGTTTGTTGACATGCCGAGCTGAGCCAAGCAGCGCCGAGCAATGCAAGGACAATGCCAAGCAAGGCAAACCAGTGCAAAGCAATGCTCTGAGAAAAGCTCCTTTTGTGGGACGCGCCGGGTTCATTCAATGATTAAAGATGAGACCCTGTCAGATCCTGTTTGGGGCCTTCGAATGATTCGAAAGGCCCCCGACGGCCTCTGGAGGTCGTCATCTCGTCGCGAACGTCGTCGTCATCCAGTGGCCGTGGTCGACGCCGTTGCCGTTGCCGTCGTCGCCGCCGTCGCCGTCACCCTGGTCGCCGCCGTCGCCGTCACCCTGGTCGCCGCCGTCGCCATGGCTCCCCCGCCTCCACCCCGAAATATGTGCAACTCCTGCTCGTCGCACCGAAAGGTGTGTCCGTAGGGGCGGCCCTGGCATTTCATCTGATACCTCCTGACACCTTCTGCTCCGGAAGCTTGAGCTCCTCACCAGTTTTAGGTCGGGCATGTCATCCTACAGGCAGGCTTTCGAAGAACAATCAACAAATACTTAAAATAATCAAGAATCGTCGAAACATCGTCCCCAGATCATTCTTGGAAATCTTGCATATCCCCCCTGTAGAGGGACATGCCCGACTCAACACCAGTTATATGAACGGAGAGCGATTGGTCTTCCAAATGGAGCTCTGGCATTGGCGCCGCGATCACTCCCACGTCTCACAAGCTTACCGCGCGGACACGGAGGGAGGGCGGTACCTTTGGGAACGTTTTCATATTTGGCGGTGCGACCTTGGGCGGAAAGGGGGGAGAAGGAGGGGGTCTGGCTCCGGACCTCTGCTTCATGCGTCTGTTTGCACATGCTCGAACCAGGCGCCAACAAGAACAACCAAGATCTACTCCACAGGGGGGAAAGGGGGTGCGAGGGCCCGCGCAGGTCGGCAAAACAATACTTAAGACAAGATGACTTTTCAAAATTGAACCATGGCCTCAGACTCGTCCTCAAAGCCTGCAGCAGCCCTTTTGTAGCTGCTGCAAGCTGAGAGGGCACGTCATGGCTGGAGGGCGCTGTTTCCCCAAGCCGGGGTATCGCATGAGTCTTCCTCAAGCCGACTGGCAAGATCTGTAAGATCGCGAAGCGGAAGCCCCTCAAAACAGGAACGAACGCACCAGAACGCACACGAGACGAGCGCCGATCTTATCCGAAAACCGCTGTCGGCAACCCACAGGACCCCCCCGAGATCCTTGTCCCACCCTCACAGCCCCTCCTCCCCCTCCGCAAATCGGCAAACGCTGAGCCGATGGCAGGGTGGAGAGCGACTGGTTGATGCCGATGCCCTCCTGCGGGAAATGGGGGACAGGGCTAGAGGCCTCCGGATGGGGTCGGAGCAGATGGGGTCGGAGCAGATGGGGTCGGAGGATCGCGCCGCATCGCCGATACATCGGCGATGCATCGGCGACGTCGACGCTAAGCAAATCGGGCCCCACAACGAGCCGCATCGGCGATGCATCGGCGATGCGGCGCGATCCTCCGACCCCATCTAGGAGGCCTAGAAGCGCAGGGCCAAGACTTCCGACGCCGCTCGTTCCTCGGGTTGGGCCCCTGGTTGCCTGCTTCCGAGCTCGAAGCCGTCTACAACAAAAACTCATGATCTTATCTGCCCCGATGCCCAACACTCAACCCGTAGCGTGTTGACACGGAGATCAACGCATCTATTTAAAGCCTCCTTGAAGGTGTCCGGGTAGATGGGGTCGTGGGATCGCGCCAAATCGCCAATGCATCGCCGATGCATCGGAGATGCATCGGCGATGCATCAGCGACGTAGGCGATGCATCGGCGACGTTGGCGTGGGGCAACACGGTCTCCACATCGAGCCGCATCGTCGATGCATCGGCGATGCGGCGCGATCCTCCGACCCCATCTGCTTGGACCCATCTAGGAGGCCTAAACATATCGAACAAGTAAGTCTAGCACGTCACGTTCGCCAGAACGTGGGCCAGCACGTGCACGAGCCAGCTCGCAGCGTGCTCGACCCAGAGGTCTTGAACACGGCACGCGTTGCCATCCAACACAAGCGCATCAGGGCATTTCGTCGGCGACTCCAAAGGGTGTGGTTTACAAAGGGTGCGGTTTGCAACCAACACGCTGGGGAACATCCTGGGGGGCACCCTGAGGGGCGCGCGGGGACCTCGATAGAGTTCTCCCGCGCCCCGAGGAGGCCCGACGAGGACAGTGTCGTGCTCCCCAGGCCCCAACGGTGCCGATTGCAAACCGGGGAGAAGGAGGAGGAGGAGGAGGAGAAGAAGGAGGAGGAGGAGGAGAAGGAGAAGGAGGCGAGGAGGAGGAAGAGGAGGAGGAGGAGGAGGAGGGGGAGGCGGAGGCGGAGGCGGAGGAGGAGGGAGGAGGAGGAGGAGTGAGGAGGAGAGAGGGCGGAAGGGGGAAGTCAGGAGGAGGAGGGGATGAGGAGGAGGAGGAGAGGAGGAGGAGAGGAGGAGGAGGAAAAAAAAAAAAAAGAGAGGAGGAGGAGAGGGGGAGGCGGAGGAGGAGGAGGAGGAGGAGGGAGGTGGTATGACGGAGGGATGGAGGAGGACACACCCTGGCGTAACCACACCCTTTGTAGTCGCCGATTCGGCTCAGGGTGAGAACGATGCCCCCGGGAGGGGCCGAGGACTCCGAGGACCCCCCCGATGCAGAACGGCACGGCGCCGGCGCGTCCAGGAAGGAGTCCGGCCTCGTCGCCCCCTCTCCCCCCCCCGCCGCGCGGGCTCCCGAGCGCGTGCGGGGGGAGGGGCGAGGGGGAGAAGCGAGGGGGAGGAGGGGCGAGGGGGGGAAGCGAGGGGGAGGAGGCGGAGGCGGCAGGGGGCACGGAGGAAGAGCGCGGCAGAGGATAAGGAGGGAGGGAGTAATTAGAGCGGAGGAGGATATGAGAGGGAGATGCGCGCGCGTCTGCCTGTAGAACGGAAGCGAGGATAGGTTTGTGAAGCCCCCCACTGGGGAGTGAGAAGAAAGAAGAGAAGAGAGGAGGACGATATTCAAAGAGTTTCAAATGGTTCCTTGCTTTCTGGGGTGATGCGGGGCTCTGGGGGGTCCCCCGGAGGGAGGAGATCGGGGAGGATAAGAAGGAAGAAAGAAGATGCGGAGGGTAACAGGAGGACGTAGAGGGGGAGAGAGGAGGAAAAACGCGGATGGAAGGAGGGAAGAACGAGGAAGTGGAGGTGAAGGAGTGAGGGAGAGAGGGCACCAAGGAGAAGAAGAGGGATAACATCCACCACGTCCCCCCCCTCAGATCCACCCCCTCACAGTCATCGTCTCCCCTCGTTCTCCTCCCTCCTCCTCTCCTCCTTCTCCGCCTCGTCCTCCTCCTCCTCTCCTCCTCCTCCTCCTCCTCCTCCTCCTCCTCCTCCTCCCCATCCTCATCCTCATCCTCATCCTCATCCTCATCCTCATCCTCATCCTCTTCCTCCTCCTCCTCCTCCTCCTCCTCCTCGTCATCATCACCATCATACTCATCATTATCATCATCATCAGCATCATCATAATCATCATCATCACCACCATCATCATCATCATCAGCATCATCATCATCAGCATCATCATCATCGTCAACATCATCATCATCATCAGCATCATCAGCATCATCATCAGCATCATCATCATCATCATACTCATCATCAGCAGCAGCAGCGGCATCAGCATCATCATCAGCATCAGCATCATCATCATAATCAGCAGCAGCATCATCATCAGCATCATCATCAGCATCATCATCAGCATCATCATAGACATCATCAGCATTAGCCGCCACCATCATCATCGTCACCGTCATCGTCATCGTCATCATCATAATAATAATAATCAGCATCATCATCATGCTCAGCATCATCATCAGTAACATCCTCCTCCGCCTCCGAAGTCATCATCAGCATCCTCATCATCATCATCATCATCATCATCATCATCACCACCGCAATCATTACCATCATCATCACCATCAGCATCATGATCAGCATCCACATCATAATCATCATAATCAGCATCATCATTACCATCAGCATCATCATCATCAGCATCATCATCATCACCATCACCATCACCATCATCATCATCATCATCATCATCAGCATCATCATCATCATCATCATCATCATCATCATCATCATCATCATCATCATCATCATAATCATCATCATCAGCAGCATCATCAGCAGCAGCAGCATC